CAGAGGGAGCATCGTATCGTACGTATGCTTCCTTTCCAGTACGTACGTATCATTTCAATACAGTACGTACGTATCCGTTGCAACATTCTGAATGTTTGAAATAAAGTGGCAAACATTAATTTAACTCATGGAATGTTAGTATTTACCAGTATTTTACAGTAGGCCTACATAGATCCTACAAGTACTATCCACATTCTTCATTTGGTAGTAGTGCACTAGCATGATCAAAAACTAAGAAAGAGGAAGAAGAGGACACCTCCCCTGCTAACGTGAAGAACATCAGCAAATCAAAGGAAAAAACACAGAACTCATTTCTACCTAGTAGTACAGAGGTCTACCCTGTTAACATTCTGAATGTTAAATTAATTTTCCCAATGCCTCAATTAAGTACTAGTAATTCCAATTGTTGTTTTACTAGTAGGCATAGTACGCTAGTAGTAGGAGTTAGGAGTACCACACTACATACATACCACCAGCAGATACTGTACAGTTCACTGACCCCAACATACAATATGGTACAGTATTATTTTACTGCTGTTCTGCAGACTGTGTATTATTCTACTACTGTTTTGCAGACTGCAGGTTTATGTAGCTATGTGAATTATGTACTACTAGGTATGAGTCATAAGTTAGTGACAAGAGCTTTAACTTTTTACTTGGCCCTCTGGTGTATCTAGCTTTTGAGGAAAACAGTCCTTGCCAACTAAGATCAGGGTTTTTGACAGGTTTTTTCCAGGTTTAAACAAAGAGAATTAAAGAGAGAATTGCCCAGGCAATATTCTCTTTGTTTGAGTGGGAACTGCTCCCATCATTTCACAATGTAAAAACAAAGAGAATAGTGCCTGGATTATATTCACTCTGAACAAAGAACAAAGAGAAACAATGCAAACATTGTCCAGGCAATATTCTCTGTGTTTCTCCTTAGTATATAAACAATGGGAAACAAAGAGAAACAAGGAAAGGCAATATTCTCTTAATTTCTCTTTGTTACAACAACAAGGAACAATGCAAATATTGTCATTTAAACAAGGAGAAAAAATTCTCTTTGTTCCTTCTTGTTTTGCAGGGCATGCAGGAAACTATTTTATTTTAAAAGATACTTACAGAGGGAGGGCCCTGTAAAGCATTCCTAAATAATGGTACAGTTTGCACCTCTTGGTTTGGATTAAGCGGCTCAATATTTGGGTGGGGTGATTTGAATGCTTCTTTTCTTGTTAGTATTAGTATGTTGATCTTGGTTAATAATATTTGAATGTGATATGCCTTTTAATGTTGTACCAGCAGCAATTAAGAAGGAATAAGCCTTCAAACAGGCCAATTTTTTCATACCAAACTGATAATACCGTCAGTTGGGTTCTACCAGCAGTCATTTAGGTACAAGACTTGCAGCAATATAATGCCAAGATTAAGTAGTATTTTAGGAGGCTGGTATTCTCATTAGTACTAGGGAACCTTTCTTATAATGGTCATTTTCATTTAAAAGAGGTGCTCTGTCTTTAGAGAGTATTTTCATGTGTGAAAATAAAATAATTTTTATTCACCACACGCATGCTCATTTTAAATCTACAGTACTGATTCTACTTGTTGTACACAATCATACACAGTCATTTGTGGAATCCAACAGCCCTGAAACTCCAAAATCTGTTAACTAAATACTGCACCATTAAAAGCGTTTTGAAAAAATAAAAAATAAAATACTGTAGGGCAAACTGCAGTATTATTTTGGAACGGAGGTAGTAAAAAACTAAAAAATCGTGAACACCCTAGGATTTTCATACCCCCGCACGGTACGTACGTACTGTACAGTACGTACGTACCCAGAGCGCTTTTCTTTGGATATGTTGTGCCTTGTGCGTTGTGCGTTAGTTGGCCATGCCAGGGCTCCACAGGTTCTGTGCATTTGGGTTCGTACGGTACAATACTTCGTAGCCGATAGTATGTCATGTACGGTACCGTACACCGTATCTGTACCGTACGGTAAGTCAGCATACGATAAGGCACCGTACGTACCGTTTTATGGATTTATGGATATGATTTTTTGTCGGAAGCATTTTTTCCCGGTCTAGCATGCACAGCGATTTCAGCACACAACAAAAATATTCACACAGCAACAACTCATCATATTCAGCAGAGAATAGGATTTTCCGTAGATGGGTGTCGTAGCGTCAACGAATCAAAAGACAAAGCGCCTTCAAAGCTTTAACGTAACCAACAATCGATAATTTTAATTCCGTAGCCAATAAGTGTAAACGCCAAAGAACAACGACGATGCCGTCTTCTCCGGGAAAATATGCGAACGACAAGGACAACGACATGCCACCCCCACCACACAAACGACAGCGAGTGTCCCCAGAAGCAACAGGCGACGGATCTCCAGATACGGCTTCTTTCTCGCTGTCACCCAGAAACAAAAAGAACTTCACCGCAGGGAATGATTCCACTCATTCTTCTGCGATACCATTTCCGCTTTCTGTTGACGCAGGTCCTATTTTCACGGAGGTCGAAGATCAAGTAGACGGCTATGCCTCAGTCGAATCCGTCTTGGGTGTTCCGGCCTACATTCTCTTTCGTCGTGTGGGGGGAAATGACGATGACATAAAGAGCAACGACACAGGTGTCAAGAACGGGAAGGACCACCGGCCCAGGCGGAGGCGGCCTCTGCTGACGCGGCAAGAGATGGAGCAGTTTTTGCGATTGACCCTTCTGGCACAAGAGATCGATGTCCTGGTGAACTTGTCCGAAACGGTCTTGTCGAGACGGCGATTTGCCCGTCACTTTCGACGCAGCATTCTCATGCAAGAACATCCCGATTCAAAACCACACTCCGGCGACGCCCCATGGAAGAATCCATGGCTCGTCACCCTGGGGCCGATTCTGGATGTTCTGGAACAAAAGCAGTACCGGCCCGATTCGTCGCTGCGGTCCGCGGAAGGAGGCCGGCGGCGAGATCTCCTCCGCGACGGCATCCTACCTGATCCTTACCCGAAACAACAAGGGCGAGACGTGCTCTGTCACGTCCACGAACAAATCACGCGCCTGTGCCACGAGCTCCAGGCCTGCGGGGTTTACGAACTGGAACGGTCCGCGGAACAAAACCGGTCGCTGGTAGCTTCCCTGACAGACATTGTCGGATACGATCACGACCACGGGGGCGAGAACGGGGAACACGAAACCGGTAAGACGTCGGCGGTCAGGATCCTGGCAAAAGAGAAACACGCCCTCTCGAGGCTTCAGGATCACTTGTCGAGGCGGGTACGGTCTTTGCTGGCAGGATTTTGTTTTTCGAGCGGTGCAACTACAAAAGGAAATGACGATGGTGGTAGTCACGAAGACGACAACAACAGCAAACAGATATTGTTCGACGACCGAGCATCGTCGTCCTCTACTGTTATAAGAACTGGGAAAGGGAACGCAAACGGCAACGAGCACGAGCACCATAACGAGGATAACAAGAAACTGGCAGAGAAGAGTACAAACGACAAGAGCAGCGATACGAATATCGTTGATGGCGACAGCGACGACGATGAATCATCTTTGATGTCGCTCGAGGAAGCCATGACACCCCTTGAACTTATTTGCGAGAAGCTCTTTGCGGGAGCTGGTTCTTCGAAGCCGATGGCATCATCACCATTGGAAATAGAGATTACGGAGGACTCCACAAAACGCAGCATGGCCGAAACGAGGTCTGGAATCTCCCAACGTGGCAGTGACGAGCAGCGGAGACAAACCCAACAGCAGCAAGAACAGACAACGAAAATTTCTCGCAACACAAACGAACTCAACTCCTCCAATCCAGATCGTGTTTCGGCGATGGCGACCGCCTCTGTCGAGGCCTCTCAGAGAACCGCTGGAGCAGCGGCCGTCATGATGGCACTTGCCACCGATCCCAAACCGGCGACGGCTTCCCCTTGGCGCGAACCACCAAAGTCGATGCGGAATGAGGCGCTGGGAAGCAGTGGAAATAACAGCAGCGTACCGAGGAATCGTTTCGACGGCACCAACCCAAAAAAGCCTGGGAACGATGATGACGGTTCGTTTGTAGAGGATCCTCCTCCCTCCGATGCGGAAGACTACAAGGAAGTGAAGCATGGAAAGAAGAAAGAGAACAGCGAGAGCCCGAAGAAGAAAGGAGCGACGAAAGGCACGATGGGGATATTCGACGTGGTGGACGTGTTTACACCCTCTTCTCCATCCGAGCAGCAGCCAGAGGAAGAACCAGGACGAGGCGACGACGAAGTGCGGCAAGGTCACGATGGCGGCCCCAGTGATCGTACCGAGGATCACCTTTCCTCCTTGTCGTCTCAATCGCAAACAGCCGCGGAAGCATTGACTCGCATGGTCCAAGGGAATTCGTTCCGTTATCATTAATTTCTTGATTCCAAAAATAGTTATGATTGATGGATTCGTGTCTCGGTTGCATCGTGTCTGCGGCAACCAAAAGCATCAAGGAACGCAGTGAAAATTACGATCAAGGTAACGACCAATCTTACATATCATGATTATTCCACCTCATTAGAATGAAAACATAAATAATCTGTTTGCGTCTTTCGCTCAACTTCTGCTGAACTGGTCAAAACTATTCCGATAGTTTATGCCTCTGCCCTTCTTGCGAGTACGAAATCGTCTTTGAAAAATTGATTCTTTTATGTTAGTCCCCGCTTGAATGTATCATTTTATTACAGTATTAAGATGGAGATCAACATCATTGCATGCGAGAGACTTCATAAAAACTAGCAGTGCGCGAGTGGGACACAGCCACATCTCTGAATACCGCCTTCTCATTTTCTTGTCAAAAGGGTGACACGGAAAAGAGTCTAGGTTATTGTTCGTATTGCTTCTTCACGCTCAAAGCTTAGAGAGACAAAAGAGGCTTGTCGAAGAGAAGGGTTTGGACGGTAGCACCAACGAAAGCGATCATTGCAAGTCGTCCGTGGACAATTTCTTGTTCTTGGCGCCACGCTTGGTCCTCGGGGGACATATCGGTCAAGATCGAAGATCCCCACTCGATGTTTCCGGGAATAGTTTCATCATCGTAGTGCTTGTAGAAGTTGGAGGCTTCGATGATTCCGATGGTGAGAAGGATTTGGATGTTAACGGCCCATCCGACTTGACCAACAGCACCGAAGACATCGGTGCTGGTGTAGGCATCACCAGGGAAGTGGATGCCGGATTGTTGAACAACCATACCTACGATGGCAAGCATACAGATACGTCCGTGCTTGATTTCGGCCCAACGAGCGTATCGCAAGTCGGTCTGGATGTCCGAAAGACGCATAGGGTCGAATCCGAAGTCACCAGGCATGGATCCATCGAGCTTCTCGGGTTTGACCAAGAAAGGGATGGATTTCGAGAATTCTTCGGCATTGAGAGCAACCGATCCAGCCCGTTGGGTCTATTGTTGTTTGATGCGAGGATACATGCGTCGGAATCCAATGAACAGAGTTTTGCGAACATTTGAACAAATCCAACAAGTCAGTGCACGGTACACACGAGCAAAAAAAACGATGATTGTTAAGTTTTGTTTTGTTAATGAGCAAAAGGACGGGAGGAAGAGCTTTGGTTGAGATCACTGTACGCAATACACAATCTAACTTCAAAACTTTGCCGCATCGCCAGGAGACGACTGTCAGTCCTACCGAGAACACCGTTTCATGATCATCTCCGAACCATGACTTCGAAAAAGCTCGATTTCTGACCAGCATCGTTCATTCAACAACGCCGCATACGGGCCATTCCTTACCTGCGAAGCGGGGGCGAAGGCCGAAGCACTTGCGATCAAGAGGGAAAGGATAGCCGATTTCATCATGGTTAATTTGTATGTTTTATTTAGCAATAGTAGCTTCGGGGTGAGGGAGGTCTCCTTATATCAATCGAACAGAAGCAAAACCAACAGAACATGTACGTTGCGGTAGTACTACCGAAACGTTTTTCACACTAATGTATTCTGCGATCCACAGCACCCAGTCTTCAACTTGTAGATTTAGGGGGTCAAATATTTTTTTCATTTTCCCTAAAACTACCCCCACTAGAATACCAAATTTCTCTCTCCAATTTCCAATTTTTTGTCATCCTGTCATCAAATCTTTGACATTCCTATTGGATGTCCGATGCAAGTTCACCTGCTGTCAACTCCGATTTTAATTATTAGTCCGCGCATTACGAACTTGTACGCGTTAAGTCACTATCACCAAGGATTCCTCACCGATTGCTAAAGATCCGGACTTTCGTGCAATTGCGTAGAGGAAAAACAGACGTGTTTTTTGACAAGGATCATCAAGCACACGAAGACACGACCTTCGGGAAAGCAATTCAAAACAATCGAAAAACCAACAAAACGATTATCGCTACTTCACGGCTGTACGGTAAAATTTTAGCACGATTAGTACTAGAACGTATGCCGTTACAAAAGGAATCTTGAAGCATTCTCAATCCAGCACACAGATTCCGCCACAACAACTACATCCAAAGAGAACAAACCAAGTACGGCAACAAGCACACCATGTCCTCGTCGTCCGCCAACGAGAGCGCCTGGGTAAAAAGGCAACGCGATCGTCAAATCGTTGTCCTTGTCGATCCTTACTCGACGGGATGTGTTGTTGCACAGGAATTGCAAAAGCGTGGGTACCTGATCGTTGCCATGTGGACGATTGGGTTCAACGAGGAAATGAAATCCCATGTGCCTGTTTCCTGCGGCAAAATGGAATACTTTGAACAGATCGATCAACTCGAGACCAACGAAGCGACCATGTCGAAACTGCTGGAAGTTGCGAAAGGCCACGAGGTAATTGCGTGTTTGGCCGGTGGTGAAGCGGGAGTTGATTACGCCGATGCCTTTTCGGAATACCTTGCCTCGGTTTCGCCCTCGTCGTCAAAGATATTGACGAATGGGACGTCCATTCCAAATCGTCGGGATAAGTATATACAACAGGAATTATGTAGGAAAATGGGGCTTCGATCTGTTCGACAAGCTGGCTCGGATAAATTCGATGAAAACATTCAGTCCTTTTTAAAGTCTGAACCATTCCCTGTAGTTTTAAAACCTACAGAATCTGCTGGCTCGGATGGTGTAAAGCTATGTTACACTTTTGAGGAAGCTAAAGATCATTTCGAAACACTCATGAATGGGCAATTGGTCAATGGAGGGGATTGCCCAAGTGTTTTGTGCCAAGAATTCTTGAATGGGACCGAGTACGTTGTTGACCACGTTTCGAGGGATGGAGTTCACAAGACTTGCATGATTTGGGTCTATGACAAGCGAGTAGCCAACGGCGCGAACTTTGTTTATTTCGGAATGAAACCAGTCGATCCCAGTACACCATTGGCTAGCATCTTGATCAATTACACGAGAAGAGTCTTGGATGCCCTGGAAATCAAGCACGGGCCCACGCATGGGGAAATTATGATGACCGAGGATGGACCGTGCCTGGTTGAAATGAACTGCCGTGCGCATGGTGGAGATGGAACTTTTGCTCCTCTCGCCAAGGCCTTGACAGGGGCATACAGCCAGGTGGAAATGGCGGCAGATGCTTTCGTCGACCCCTTTGCATTTGCTCAAACCCCCGATCGTCCCTCCTATCCATTCAAGGCGGCTGGACAAGAAGTCATTTTTGTGAGTCGGTCCAAAGGCATTGTCAAATCGACGCCTGGATACAAAATTATCAAAATGATGCCAAGTTTCTTGCACATGGACGGGATGAAAACGGAAGGATCGGTTGTGGATTACACCATTGATCTCGTGACGGGAATTGGGAGTGTTATTTTGATGCACAAAGATCCGGAAGTGGTCAAACGTGATATCGATTTCGTCCGGTATTTAGAAGACATTAATGGATTTTTCGTGTACGAAACAAAGCTAGAAAACCTGGCACGTCCACGCGGAGATGCTATCGTATTTTCAAAGACCAAGACTTCTCCATCGAAACCTCCGCGAGCTCCTCATAGACGCCTCAAATCGACTGATACAAGCCACCATCAACATGTATTCTCTTCTGATGGACCTAATCTGGTGCGTATCATGTCGAACGATCGACCAGAACTGGGTGGCTTCGGTGGTATGCCAATGTTGACAAAGCGCATGACCACGGTTGATTCTTCTCGAGAGGCAGTTGTCCTGATCGACCCTTATTCGACTGGCTGCTGCATCGCCGAGGAAATTATGAAACGCGGATTCAGTGTCATCGCATTGTGGACACGCGGCTTCTCACCGGAGATGAAAACTCACGTTCCGTTGAGTTGCGGAAACATTAAGTATCTCGCTGAAGTCGAAGAAGGCGAAACTCTTGCACAAACTTCGCAAAAAATGTATGAAGCCGCAGGATCTTTGCGTGTTGTTGCATGTCTAGCGGGAGGGGAAGCCGGAGTCGACCTCGCTGATGCACTTTCGGAGCACATCAAAGTGCGTACGAACGGAACTGTCATTCCCAATCGCCGTGATAAAAAGATTCAACAAGAAATCATTCGAAAGCACGGTTTGCGTTCTATCCGACAAGCTGGAGGTAGTGATTTTGGTGAGGTGAAACACTTTCTTGAAACCGAGCCGTATCCAGTTGTGTTGAAGCCGGTCGAATCAGCTGGAAGTGACGGAGTTAAACTATGCCACTCATTTGAAGAAGCGGAGGAGCATTTCCATGTCCTTATGAACAGTCAAATGGTCAACGGAGGAAACTGTCCCTCTGTACTTTGTCAAGAATTTTTACGTGGTAAAGAATACGTTGTAGACCACGTGTCTCGAGATGGAGAACACAAAACTGTCATGGTCTGGGTTTACGACAAACGTCCGTGCCATGGAGCGGAATTTGTTTATTTCGGCTGCGTACCTGTGGATTCTGAGTCTCGTGAAGCCAAAATTGTCATTCCGTACGTCCAGGGGGTTCTCGATGCACTAGAAATCAGGAACGGACCGTCGCATGCCGAGGTAATGATGACACCTGACGGTCCGTGCTTGGTAGAAATGAATTGTCGGGCACATGGCGGTGATGGAAATTGGCGCCCTCTCTGTCGCCACCTCACAGGAGGTTATTCCCAGGTTGAAGCTACAGTTGACGCATTCTTGGACAAACAGCAGTTTTCAGTCCTCCCCTCAAAGCCACCGAGTCCGTTCAAGGCATCAGGCCAAGAAGTAATTCTCGTGTCGTATGGTCGTGGAGTGGTCAAAGCAACCCCCGGATTCGATATCATCAAAGAAATGCCATCTTTTGTCTACCTTGAGACAGGGGTCCGACCAGGGTCGAGAGTAGACTACACAATCGACCTCTTCACGGGCATCGGGAGTGTTATTTTGATGCATAAAGATCCAGCAATATTGGAAGGTGACATCCAACGAATCCGAGACATGGAAAAGAACAATGAGCTATTTACTTTCGAGCAGCAATCGAGATATATGAAATCGCCATCTATTATCGGAATGGATAAACTCGCCTCAGCCTAACCATCCACAAGATTTCAAAGTAGTGTTTTGAAATTCTCATTGCAAAATCTGAACTAACGCGACTGACGATGATTATACTTGATTTTTCTGCAAGAACCCAAATGCGCTCTCAATTTAGACTCTGAAGAATCCTTCATTCTCCCCACCCAAGAGCACTAATAGAAAATAAAATGATTAAATTGACGGGGTAATCATTGAAAAATATTGAATTTATTATGTCTCGAGTTATTTCAAACGTATCCTAGCTCTGCAAAAATACTAGAAATGATGAAGTTCGAGTAAAGCAAGCTGAGAGAAGAAGCGAAGCGATGAAAGAAGTAAAGAAGCATGATTTGGTGAGAGTGACATTTCTTAGTGCTCAATGGTCGAAAAGGAAAATAGAGAAAGGATAAAACAAACAACCAAACAAATAATTCCTGAATCGACTCGTGGTGAACCAGCATAATGAATAGTTCTTACCCATCCGGATCCGTGAGCCGAAGAACATTGTCTTCCGTTCGTTCGGCCAATCCAAGTTCCAAACCTAGAGCTGCCCCATCAATGACATCTTTTACTACCCCAGATCCGTAATGAGACTCCAACCATGTTAAATCGAGTCCATCGATCGTTCGCAACCGTTTCAAAAGAAGATCGGACAAAAAATCTTCGCCATCGCCGTCATCTTCGGCATTTATATTGGTGAAATCATCATTGAGCTGGAAGACCCAGTCAAGATAATCACTCATCTCTCTCGGACGAGCAACTAGTTTCTTCCCGACAAAGCTAGTCGCACCCAGTCCGACAGCGTGCCACTGGCCATCGTATTCCCAATATATTTGATTGTGTCGACTTCGTTTACTCGTAGAAGACGGAATAATCTGTTTGCTGCTATCTTCGTCCCCATCGTAAATAGATTGTTCTTTTTTACTGACGCAATTTGCAGCATACGAACTCACCTCGTAGTGTTCGTAGTTTTTGGCTCTCAGATACCCTGCGGCATATTTGTACATGAAGCCGCACTCTTCTTCTGTAGGTAAGCGAAGGATACGTTTTGCTTTATTTGGATTTTGTTGCCGACCATCAATTGGAACAGCAACGGTAAATTTTCTCGAGGGATCGTCATCATCATCGTCATTGTCGACATCTTTGCCTTCTTGGTCAGATGTTTGTGTCTGCTCCTCTTCCTTTGCCTTGGTCGCCGCATCAGCTCTGGCTCTCGATGCCCACTTTCCAAAGACAGTTCCCTCCTCGATTTGCATGTCATATACCGAAATATGACTTGGCGGTGGCAACGAAGACAATAGGAGTTGACTCTGTTCGAAGTTTTCTGAAGATACCAACTCCATGTTCGCCTCTTCTTCTGCTGTCGTCGCAGACTCAATTTTTTTTGCTTGTACTCCGGCGGTAGCCTCTTGCAAGGTTTCAGCCCATTTTGCCGGTGTGAGTCCTGGGCACCCCGAAATTAAATCAATGGAATAGTTTACGTCATCATAAGCAGTGGTATTGCTTGCGCCATGATCCGCGCCGCCGAAAACAGATGCAATGTCGCAAACGGCTTGAAGGACGTCGGCCCTGCGATGTGTTCTTCCCATAGCAGCCAACAAGTCGTCGTCAAAGCTTTGAACACCCAACGAAATCCGATTGATTCCAAGATCACGCAGCGAAGACAAATAGTTTTGATCAAAGGTTCCGGGGTCCATTTCCATTGTGATTTCCGTCGCTTCGGCAGCCGTACAGGCACCGCCGTTTTGCACGATACGAAACGGAGCATCCGGATTGTCCGATCCGCAGGCGTGATATAATATCTTTTCAATGGAATCAATCGGTGCCAAGCTGGGAGTTCCACCTCCAAAATATATCGACCTCAGTGGTATTTTTTGGCAGAGGATTCCGTCTTGTTCATTGTTGTTGGTTTTGTAGTTCGACTCGGCTGCGATGTGTTTCAGTTCGGCAACGATGGCCGATACATATCGATCATTCATTTTTCGAAATCCTTGTTCTCGTCGATCGAGTTGACCGCCATTTTTATTGTTATCAGCACTAGATGGGTTGGCTTCTAGATCAATCATATTGGACCTTGTACTTGTATTCGTAGCACCGTGATAACCTATCGGCACTATAGCAAAGTCACAGTATCGACAGCGTTGTCGACAGTATGGGATGTGGATGTAAAGGCCGACGTTGCCGTTGGTATTGTTTCTGTTATAGCTAGTGTGTAATTCATTTTCGTAGTTTTCACCGCGTGGACTAAGATCGACGCCGTCACCAGCAGTAGAAGCGAAGTCGACACGGTCAACACTCCCGTCGATGGCAGTCGTCCATAATCGATCGACATTCGCAACTTGCCCTCTCGCCGAAACAAGACAAGCTTGCGAAGGCACCAAACACCACGGACTTTGACCAGGAGAATGCGAATGGGTACCGCTGCGACGTTTTTGTAGAAGAAAATCCGCAAGCGGCATCGTAAACGAACAGCAGCCGACGATGGAATACACCGATGCCACCGCCAAGCAAAAAAGAACAAAACAAACCATTTTGAAAATTAGTTGGCAATGTTTGTATTTTTCGACCAAGCGCCTCTGAAGATAAATATTATTGTTGTTCGAGTCTTATGCAAGACCCTTCATTTTTAAGATGAAACGATTTGATCTTTCCGATGTTTGAAGTCGTTTCGACAATGGCATCAAACATTTGTTTTGGTTTCTGTTTCATTCTGCTGATTCGATGGTGGCGTTTCTGAGGGAGTTTAAAAATCCTTCTGCGAGAATTCGAGTTACTGGATTGATGGGTTCGTTCGAAACTAGGAGTAGGAGTACGTACGTACCCGTACGTACTCGTGCCACTTAATTGCTCGTACGTACGAATCATGAGCCGCAAGATGCGTTTGGCACCGGTATGCGCTAGCCCTTGAAATAATTATGCGTAGGTACGAGTACCTACGGTACAGTACGTAGGGTAAAGAGAAGCATCATCATGACTCATGGCGGTATTCATTTCTCACGAATAAGTCAGTCCCGCCAACAAGATGTCTGCTACTTCACCACCCTCTACTAGCTACCAGTACCTGTAACGTAGGATCCAACGTAGTACAAGTACTTAGTAGTACTTCTACTTGACTTCGCTACTTTGTCAAGTACGGTACGTACGTACGTACGTAAGGTAGTGTGTACTTTGAAAGTGGGACTCATTCAAAAAGTTTTTCGAGAGATGCGGGCTTGCGCAGTCAAAAAGCACCATACCCTACGCTCTAGAATAGTCGCCAGTCCCAGTATGACAGTTTGACAGAAGTTTGTGCGACATTGATAGTCCTCTCCGGTGTTGCAGCATTCAGTGTGATACCGATACGAGTACCGTGCGACGCAGCATCATAATCGATTCTGACACTTGCTACAAATCAAGATATTCTCTGTATCTCGTTCAAATAGATGCAATCGACTAGAATCGAGGAATATCGAAAACCATCTGCTTATCACATGTCACAAGAATGCAGCAATTGAATTGATAGAACGTTGGGAAGACTAGGTTTCACCACCGTCATCAGAGCTATTCCAGAAAATCTTTGCATATTCTTCAAAAATATAAGAACAGCAAGTTAGCGAAAATATGGGTGGTGGACCGCTGGGGTTGACAATGACGAAAGGAAGAGCTGGAACACAAAATTGTGGGTTGTGGGAGATATGCATTTTCGTCATGGCCATTCTTTCCGGAACGGCGTCTTCTGTATTGTCAAAGCTAATGATGGGACTGCAAGGAGTTGGCCTATCCGGAGAACCAGAGGTTTTTCGGAAACCAATCTTCCAAACATTTGCAACGTTCTTGGGGATGTCAATGGGCCTGGTCTTGCATATCGTTGTATTGAAATTTCGCTTGCCCTTTCCGGGATACGAGGAGTACTTCTCCCGCAAGGAAAACAGAAGAATCGCAAATCACGATGAAGAAAGTGACGGGGAAGAAGAGCCGGGCAATGCAACTAACGAATGCAAGCTTGGAAGCGGATCGTTTTCTATAGCAGCAACATCCATGATAAGAGCAAAATACTTCGGGAGTGGTCAATTCATAACGGCTACGAAAGGAACCAAGGATTACACAAACACTGATTACGGCACATTGTTAACGCCTGTGTATAAGAAAAACTTCGACGAAAACCATATTCACACCACTCTAGAATCATTTGAGCCACGAGGCAATTGCCAGTTGCCAACGCCGTTTTCAACAAATGACGATCAAAATCTAAGCAAGAAGGACAGCAATCAGAACATACCGCTATGCATGTACCTCTTTTTGGCTGCACCATCTGTCTTTTGCTTGGTCGCCACTGCCTTGTCTATGATTGGGCTGCAATACGTTGACGTGAGTGTTTATCAAATGTTGCGATGCAGCGGGATTGTTTTCGTGGCATGGATGAAACAGCATTTTTTGGGGGATCGCTTGCATCACTTTCAATGGATAGGGGTATTGTGGAATGTTGTTGGCGTCGTCTTGGTTGGGACTACAGCACTGCTGGATAAAAATGCTTCGAAATCAATGGAATCAAGTTTGGGATCGGGAGTGACAGCTCTGACCGAGGAAGAGGGTGAGCAAGATGGTGACCAAAAAACGTTGTACGGGGTCGGCCTTATTTTGTCGGGAGCAATCGTCCAAGCTATGCAATTCGTTTTTGAAGAAAAGGTGATGAAAATGGAAATGTCAACTCCGCCCCTGCTATTGATAGGAACGGAAGGGCTATGGGGCTGTCTATTGTGCTTGCTAGTTGTGTACCCGTTGGCCTATGCTATACCAGGAGACGATTATGTTTGTTCTACCAACAGCAATGTGGGTTCGTGCTACAACGACGATAACACAAGCGGATCCTACGAAAATCCTGCAAACACGTATGCAATTTTCAAAAGCTCTTCACACATACAGATCGCGTTTACTATGTACCTGATAGCGATCTTTGGCTTCAACTTTTTCGCCATCATGGTCACATATATGCTTGATTCCGTGTGGCACGCAATTTTGGACAATTTCCGACCCATTTCTGTTTGGTTTGTGGAATTATTGATATACTATGTCTTTTCTTCTACCACGAATGCATCGAGATCTCCAACGCCACAATTGTCATTTGGAGAGGATTGGACCCCGTGGAGCTGGATCCAGGTTTGTGCCTTGGTCGTTCTCTTGTATGGGACTGCAATATACAATGCCCCAAACGCCGGACCCATCAAACTTAAGGGCAATTGGTATTCGTTAGGATTCGACTTCACAGACGAATACAGGGAGATCGAGGAACATCGCACGCGGGTCCTCTCGAGCCTAGTTCGAACCACGAAATTCGAGTTCGTTCCGACGATATTGGCCGATCAGGAAACGCTAAATGGTCGCTACCAGAATGACGGTGACGAAGACGATTCCCTCGATATCCATCGCCAAAACGACGATGAAAACCTCAATCAACAGACACACATCGACGACAGCCTACGAAGTCGACACCGTCACCAAAAAACTGCGTCTCGGATTTCTTTCAATTTCTAATAGCGGCACTATTAAGTTTGCGTTCTTTTGATGTATGTCGTTCGAGGTTTCCGGATCTCCTGTTTCTAAGCTTTGTGGTGGTGGACACCAGCATCCATAAATCATCGGTTCTTTGTAAAAAAGGTTCAGTTCGGTGGCGGTGGACATCGGCAGTGACCAATCATTGGAATTGTCCTTCTGATTCCACACGAAACTGATTGGTTTGCGAAAGGTCGCGTGCCATCCGTCTGGAACACAAACGTTGTGTTCCTCGCCTCCATCCCCGTGTGAGCGATCGCCATTGCGAGCCACCTCCATCGATTTCTCGTGCTATGCGCTATCGCTACCGCCATCCTTGTCCCTGTGTTCGTTCGCGTGGCACGCCTCGTGTGCCAGGCTCAGCAGCCCCGCTACGGCCACGTCGGAGCGCAGCGTTCTGGACCCGAGGGTGATTTGCTGGAAGCCGCACTCGTTCCTGAACAGGTCGAGTTCCCCCGGTTCTTCCCAGCCGCCCTCGGGGCCGACGGCCACCAAAATGCGGGGGGGCGACCCGGATGGAAAGCGGACCTCCCCCATCCGGAGGGGCTCTTCGGGGTCGTCGTGCCGCTTCGGGTGCGCCAGAACCCGGGCGCAGGAGTCCCTCGGAAAGAGCTCCTCGAACTCGTCCGACCGGAGAAAGCCCGAAAGGTTCCGGACCACGCGGAGCTTTGGCAGGCGCACGTCTCCCGCCTGGCACAGGCCCTCGATCAGTTTTTCCTGCAGGACCTCCGGCTTGCGAAACAGGTGGGACCCGAAGTAGTCCTTCGGGACCTTGGCCGCCGACGTCAGCACCAGGTGGTCCACCCCGATCTGCGAGATCATGGGGAGGATCCGGCCGATCTGCAGGGGCCTCGGGAGCGCCAGCAGGAGGCTCACGCGGATCGGGTCGGAGGCCGCCGAGGACCGGCCGGGGTCCTCGTCGATCGACCGGAGGTTGTTGAGCGTGATTGCCAGGGATCCCGGTGGGTTCCCGTTCTTCAGCACCTCCGCCTTTTTCACGGGCGGCTCGGGGATCCACTCGACGGTGGCCTCGTCCGTCCACTGGCCGGGACCGTCGGACCCGGCATCGCCGGTGCTTCCGCCCCCGACGATTCCGGCGCGGACGAGGTCGCCGTTTTTCAGGCCCAGGGTCTTGGCGGCGTGCACCGTCCGGTAGTCGTCTTTCGGGAGAACGACGACGACGCGCTCTTCGGCGTCCGTGTCTTCGGTGGTGGTCGCCACCTCGGTCGGGCCGAAGAGAAAGCGGTTCAGCCGGCACAGGGTGGTCCCGTGGAAGGCCCGGCGGGGATTCCCCCGCAGGGTCGGTGCGACGGACCGGAACGCCGAGTTCCTTCCGGGGGAGAGGGATGCCACGCCCGAAAACCGACCCAGCGCCGCCGTGACGAACAAGAACGGAAGGCTTGAATTGTGCATGGCAGTGGTGTGTGCCGAGAGAGGCAAAAACCGTGTTCCGGTGGACCCGCCGAAGAAAAAACTATCGAACGGTCGGTCGGTGAATCGATCGATCGGCTTGGCCTGCTGTGGTAGATGATGAAATGCGTCGGCCTCGCGAACACTCGTGCAGTACTGTATACTGTTACAATCGAACGGATACAATGCGGGTTCTTTCTTTCCTCCGACCAAAATCGGGCGCCCGATGAATGCCAATGGTGCTGGAACTGTTACTGTTGACTGATCAATTGTGGTTCTGGCGAAAAAGAGACTGAAATGATAAAATGATGGATGATGGATGATGATTGTTGGTTCGTTCTTACGGTTCGTACGGTTCGTACGGTACGTACTTTCTTTTCGTACAGGACACTACGTACAGCAGTCGTGCTCGTACGTATGTAACGGTACTGGAATTCGTACCGTATGGTACGTACCTCCGCAGGAGTTTTAGACTCGATTTTCGGGTTTTGCGTGACAAAAAATCAATCAATCACCGATTGATGGACGTGACATACGGACATACAGTATGGTATGGAACTATCGTAGTCCTAGTAGATAGTAGACAGGAGAACTGATTTTTTTATGCGCCGTTTAGGCGAAAGGCCAATGCTACTACCGTACATTTTCAAATAATGCGCGATCTTGGTTCCATTCCACTGTCAATGAGAATCCTGCTACCGGTACGACCACTAGCAGGAGTGATGACTGCGAAGTGCTCCTACTATCTTTGACACAAACAGTGGTGCTACTGCAGAATTCTCCATTCGTGATTACATACTACGAGTACGCAGAGGCTACACTATTCGGTGGCAGGCTGGCAGGCACCCCCGCCAATGCTTGTTCGTGCTCCGGTTTTGGTTCCCCTTTTGCTTTGCTTTGCTTTCGATTCGATTTTCTTTGCTTTGCTTTCCTTTCCTTTCCGTCCCGCCCCTGCCAGCCCTTCCTATGCCCGGTGGTACAAGAACTGCGGGAGCTTGTCCGCCTCCATCCCCAGAGCCGTCACGTAGTGGTAGAGCTCGAGGTAGCTCCGGGGCGCCAGCTCGAGAAGGGCCCTCACCGAGCCCCGGCGGTCGGCCCCGGTGCAAGGGGCGACCCGGAGCCACTTTTCCTCCAGCAGGACGCCCACCACGCGCGTGGCCTGGTCGAGGGTGAGCTTGCAGCCCCCCTCCAGGTCCGACCGGAGGTTGATGAGGTCCGCCCTCTGGATGCCGGGGGATTGTGGTTCCCTGCTTTTTTGCTTCTTCCCGTTGTTGTCTTTGTTTTCGTCTTCGTCTTCGTTTTCTTCCTCGTCGTCGTCGTCTGGCTCTTCTTCCTCCTCCTCGTCGTCGTCGTTGTCGTTGCTGCCCCCCCGGTTGCTCCTCTCGACCAGGGCCCGGACCACCAGCCGCACAAAGGCCCGCTCGTGCACGTTCCACGAACGGGAAAAGACCGTCTCGCTCTTGGCCACCTCGTCCGCCGCCGTGTTGACCACCGCGTGGTAGTGCGTCGCTCCCCCGCTGCCGCTCGTGCTCGTGTCGACCATGGTGATGATTTCCAGGCCAAATCCGGGCCTCAGCTGCCGGTTGATGCTCACAAAGGCGGCCTCCAGGGTCTCGATCCCCTCCCCCATGATCGGGCCGCCGCCGTTTTCCTCGTCGTCCGTCCCGTAGTCCCCCCCGTGCAGCGACGCAAAGATCGCCCTGGCCTCACCGTCCGGGAGGGAGTGGTTCGCGATCATTCTCTGGAGCAGCAGCTGCTGCCCCCTGGGGAGTTGCTCGGTCGCGTCCATGATGGCTTTCTTCTCTTCTCTGCTGGCTCTTCTGGCTCGTTTGTTTCTTCTGGGGTCTGTGGTACGGTACCGTACCCTACCGTACGGTACGGTACGATGCCGTGCCCAGGGGTCATAAATTTGGCAGGGGTGCGCAACGCCGAAAAGGGACGCGCATTGATTTGGAGGAGAGAGAAAAAATTCTTATTCCATCCTCTACTATTATCAGTACTGTACAGCACCGTACGTAGTACGTACGCGAGGGAGAAAATGCAAATTTGAAGTACAAATTTAGTCCCTTACGTGTCAAATGCATGCAATGAACTGCGCAGACAAGAAACAGTTGGGTTATGTACGGGTACCGGTATCTTATGGGTCTTGCGTTATATACGTAGTTTATTATTCTCACTAGAAAAGTTCAATACTTAACGCGCTACAGTATTTTTAAGTATTTATAGATTGCACTATTTTTACTTAAAATACGGTATGTACCTATCGCCTCCCTCAATGGAGAGCCTATCAATTTTATCCAGACAGTCCTGACATAAGTTTGTTTGAGAACTCCTTTTGACGTATCCCGTCTTAAGACTCTCAAATAGTTTCGTCATTACTTAGCATCATATGCCTATCAATTTTATCCTGACTTTTTGGAAAACTCTTTTTTACGTATCCACTTTGAAGCCTCTCGGTTATTGTTATTTTTTTTTTCGCATTCAAAATCATGGCAGAAGTTCTCAAGAATCAATAAATATAAATACAGTAATTGAAAATAAAAAATACCTGCACAATTCGTAATCGTAAAAGTTCCTTGCAGCATGTCCTGCACAAGTACCATTGGGGAAGAATTTAGAATTTCGTTTCATAGTCATAAATTACTGCATTTTCGTGCAGTTGTTTTCAGCAGAACGTTTGATTGCCGTTAGCAACATTCAAGAAAACAAAGATGCAATCTACAGGCAATATCCCGCCTCTTGCACCTCTACACACGGAGACGTGCGTCGTCGCGGATCCTGCCGCCCAACCAAACGATTCCTTGAATTGGGAATCGAGGGGTCTCGTAGTTCAGGTTTACAAATCACTGGATACCGCACAGCCGCCTGTCAGCATTGACATTGCTAGCACGTTGGGAGCCGGCAGTGACCTGCCGCTTGCTATAAGGAAGGCTTGCCGCTTCTGGTTCGATCCATCGATCAAAACTAAAGGCGATGTTTCTCGGTACTTGAACTCCGTGAGTCGCTCGAACGGATTCAAGATTTCGACTCTCTCGAACTCCAAACAAGGACTGGATCGCCGGGCCCAACTCGTTTGTTCGAGAGGTATGGTCGCGAGGAAACCAAGAGGGAAACGGGCAACCGTGCAAACAACCACGACACGACCGATCAGTAACGAACAAAAATGTCCGTTCTCGTTCACCGTATACGAGTGCCGAAGATCGGCCAGGTGGTACTTTCGAAAGTTTGGCAACGGCAGTCGAATGCATTGTGGGCACTGTAAATTGCTTCCGCAGCAGGTAGGAATCCGCCAATTCCAAAACCTAACTGAGAGAAACGGAGAAAATTGGTCAGAGGACCAAACGAAAAGTGTTCCGGTGAATGCCGTTTCACCGAAGGAGGGAAATGCCGACCGTGAAACAAAGTTGGCGAAACGAACCCCGAAAGTAGCATCGGATGTCAACAAGGCAATAGATGCAGCGTTTACGGCACACGCTCAACAAGGAGGGAGCGCCACATTTGCATCTTCCGTTGCAAATGTCGTCAGAGATCAGTTTTTAGAACGCATGAATGGTGCTGACAATCGTATCTCTCATGCCAACAAAGCCAGTGTTCACGTGAATGAAATGGTGCTTGAACCAAACGATCTTTCACATTTTCTAAGTAGAAAAAAAATCGATTGGAGTGGGAACATCCCCCATCAGCAAATACGAGGCATCAATAACTATCGGAAGAATAATCGAGAGTATAGTTCGATGTTGGAGAAGGAAATTTCACATTACAGTGGATTCGCCTCGAGAAAGAAAATCAAAGAAGACGAACTCGAGCGTATTGAGAACCATTTGAATACCATCAACGACAAATCGTTCATTCTGGATCAAGCGGAAATCCATCGCAATTACCTTGCGGAGAGTAAGAAGTGCAGTCCCATCAGCATTAAGGAAGAAATCAAGAACATAATCGCAAAGGAGACGGGGAAGGCAGGTAAATACTGTGGCAACTTAAAGCTACTGATGATGCTTCCAATTATATTCCTCACTTTTTCCTCACTGAATTCGACCGAAACTCGAAACAAACTTTAGCCAACATGCCACAGACGAATACGATTGGTAATATGACCAGATCGAACACAAACCGTTTCGTTGAACATCGTACTCCCAACGCGAGATTGTTGACGAATATGAACAGGAATCAAAACCTTGCCTCATATTGTAATCATGATGCCCAAAATATGGCGAACATGGTAATTCAGCAACTAAGTGCGGCAGAACCGGGACGGTCAAATCAACTTGTCGACAGCATGAATATGCAAAAGACATGGAACACTCAATACAACGCGATGAATGCAAACTCGAACACAGCAAACCAAATTCAAAAATCTTCATTAATACATGGATCGAATGCGTATGGTGGTTTCACAAAAAATATTATACAGGAACCATCTGGTGGCCGTTGCGCTGGTACGAATTTCTCGAACTTTACCATGGGAAATATGAATACCACTGAGAGGATGGCCGGAATTCGCAAAGACAACGTTTCTATTTTGCGACCGACAGAAATCTATGACTCCCCCACCAATCCAGAAGCAGGAGCTACGAATTCTAAACCCGATATGGTGGCTAGTGTTGAAAATAGTACTGGCAGTAAGAACTGCTTTGTTGAAGAAGATATTGTGACACAATTTCTTGTTCAAATGCATGCGCATCCCGAAATCGTCTGAGTACTACTACAAGAGCGCTGGAGAAAGTTGCCCGTTATATCTTGGCTACATTTGCTAAATCTTGTTATAAGGCCCTCATTTAGATCACTTCATACCCTTTTCCTTCACTCGCGTCAAATGCATTTGTGTCATAAATGATGTCATGTCTCTGTAGTACAAGGACTCACCATTATGACAAGCACCTCCACCGTCCTGATTCCAAGCCAGAGTCTGATCCTATGGTGTCAAATTGAATAGCATTGTTTTTTGTTATCCCTCTTCACTCATTCTGGGATTATGTTTGCCATTATCAGGTCTAGTCTTCTTTGTTGTCAGAGGTATGGTTTTCCAGATCTGTTTCAAAATCAAAAACTAGTTCCTCCTCTGCTAGTGTTGATAAAATCTTCTAGTAGAAAAGCCCTCATTTTCCTCCTGCTGCTAGTACCAAAGAGGGACTCTTTACAGCATGGAGAATAATCTTGTTCATTTGCATGCTCAAATGTTTCTGGTAGAAAAACACAGCAACAAGAACAACAAAAGTAGACTGTTGCTAGTGGTGGTTTAGGTTTGCTGGTAGCTAGTAGTAGTAGATACTTTGGACATTTTCCTTCTAGTAGACCTTTTTCTTATTATTTACTAGATTCTGTGTGTCTACTACTAGTTCCTTTTGAAAAGCTGCTAAGGATGAAACTTCACTTTCATAGTACTAGCTCCTCCTCCTCCTCCATTCAATCTCAGCTAGAATCACTACCACCACCACCACCAGCAGCAGCAGGTGTTGTAAGAACAAGATTCTGCTGCTGCATGGTGTCCTTGTCAAAATTACTACTACTACTAGTAGTACTAGTACTATGTCACAAAAAATGATTGCGACCCATCACATCCTGCAGCGTCCCTTTTTTTAGATTCCTCACCCCTTTTTTTGTTTTTCACATGCTCCATGCTTGGTATTTATGTCACATTGGCCACATTTTCTTCAACTGAAATCATGTCAACTTGTGAACCAGATTCTGTGTGATGCTGCAGGTCACAATAGGTTGTGACAGTGTCTAAATGTTTTTGATACCCAAGTATTTGCATTACCAAATGACAAATCACTCTGCCGTTTTACACTTTAATATCATGCAAAGTTGAATTTTTAAAATGACAAAGACCAAGAAAATGCATTTAGCCAGATTGTTGCTTCTTTTGCTTCAAAACTTCATAAAATATCTCTACATTCACCTGAACAATGAAGAAAAAGATATTCCACAAGAAGATTAATTGGTTATTGCCACAACAAATACATTCAAGATCTCAAGGCAACAATGAGCAACAAAGAGCAGTTCATCTGTTTTCTATCAGGGGCTGGTGGTAGTGGAAAATCAGAAGTAATTCATTATGTTCTTTGACATTATTGTACTAAGATGTTTTGCAAAGAATTGGGAGTGAACTTTTCCAACAGAACTCTGGCTATCACAGGCATGACTGGAACAGTAGCAGCTAATATCAATGGGGAAACAACATATAGTGAATCTTGCTATCTTAATTGTGACAGATCCAATGTTACAGGTAAATGAGACTTGTCTACTCACTGTTGACATTATATCATTTGCTAGCATCAAACAAATTGAAACATTAAATAAATATCTGAACTGATTGTGAGGCAACAAGCCATCATATAATTGGTATGGCAATCTACCAATTGTCTTTCTTGCAGGTGACTTCAATCAAGTCAAACCCATGGGAGGAGGCTCTCTAGTATTGTTAAAGAAATTCCATCTTTACAGAGAAAAACCAACACATTTTGAACTTAAAACAAACCACAGGTTTTAAGATGATCCAATCTGGGGAGAGCTTCTTGATGATTTAAGAATAAATGGTTTGAAAGAAGAGCATGTTCAAATCATCAATTCGAGGATTGTAAACCTTGGGACAAACTCCCAGAAGATACTGTTTATGCAACATACAGCAATGCCAACAAATGTGCAACAAATGATGGCATATTTTCTACAGACCAAAAATAGACCATCTAGTCTTAATTTTTGACTTTCTGTCAACGCTCAATTCACCCTTGACAGAAAGTCTAAATCTAGACTGGAATCCAAGAATGAAACTCTGTTTGAAAGACTCAACTGAAAAAGACCCGCCAAATTTAAGACTGACTAGATTTTTACTAGGTAACTAAACCATCTCTTACAGAAAGCGCCAGTGCCATAAGAAAAAAACAAAAACAACAATGTCCCCTGACTTAGTCCCTACGCTATACATTAGATTGAAACAAAGAGAGGCTCAACTGCTGCAGGCTTTATCTTGAGCACCACACGTAGAGACAGACAGGAGGGGGGATATCCCTCTCACAATATTCATTCCGCAAGCAAGAAAGATGGCTGGTGGTATGGATCGCTTGCCTCCACCGGCAACAGTCCCTCCCCCCCTCCTGGGGGAGGGGGGGAGGGGGGAGAAGGAAAGAGCAAAAAGGGCTGAAGAGCAAGATGATCAATGGTTTACCTTGGCTCAAACATTCGCATCAACAGTGGCAATGACACTTGCTGCTGGTGACCGTACCAAGTGCCCACCCACCAGTGCTGGATACAGCAGTGAATCCCATGGTGAAAGTGACTAATTCCAATCTTCCAGTTAGCTACTATTTAACAATTAAACAACAGCAGCATCATGACAACAACAAAAMAAAACAATGAGCAGCGCTACCAGACAACAAGCTTCTTGTTAGCATGTATTAGACCGTGCCAGCACAGGTGCTGTCCACTTGGGCCATCTTGTTGTCATAGATTCCATAGTCACTGATGGAGCTATCGTACCACGTGCCAGGGCAATTGAAGGTTCCTATGTGGATCCTACCATCAGGTGCAAATACAAACACCCCATTGCCTTCCAACCATTGAAGAAGATCTCTTGTTTGAGCCAGTCTTCTGCTGAAGACTGGATCTCTACCTTGAGCCCGCCTGCTGCTCCCGAGCAAAGGCGTTGTTCTTCCCCAAAGGTGTTGTTCTTCTTCAAGTCTTGGATAATTCTCTCCAATTGCTCTAACGTACACATTGGTGTCTTGCTCACTTGGCAGGCTGACCATGGCAAGTGGATGGTAGTAGTTATGAAGCACTGATAGAAGGATCCTCATGGAGAACTTGAGCCATTTGTACATCACTGTTGAGATTAGACTGAAGGCCACAGCCATTCCCCTTGCAACAGATCCTCTAGTCCTGTACCAGAAGAGTGCTAGCCCAAGACAACAAGCAACATTTGCCTCCCTTGGCTTTCCCTTCTTTTTCCTACTCCTGGTGGGTGGAGGAGGACAAAGAAGAACAAGAATCTCGTTGTCCTTGTTGACTGAGTACTAGTATCTGTTGAAAGCTGGAGCAAGAAATAGGTCAGGGAGATCCCTGAAGACCTTGTGGTCTACACCACTGCAGTTGAGGAGTGCTTGGTCATCCCCTGAGTGAAAGAGGAAGATGAACAGCAAGTCTGCATATCTCCTAATTGCAATCCTAGTAGGTGTTCTGCTGCCCCTTCTTCTCCTGTGTCTCTCCTCTGGTTTTTTTTGTTGTCCTTCCCCCTTTCTCTACCAAGTGATCTCTATGCTTGGTTGCCCAGTATAAGCAAAGGGTCTCAACAACACCCATTATGTCCCTTTTGTTTGCTGGAAGGGAAGTATGGTCTTTTGTTAAGGGAACAGCTCAAATTTCTTATGAGCGAGGGCGCTTCTGTTTAGTACACTAGTACTAGGAGTAGGAGTAGTAATTGTAAATTTCATGTTTCACTTATTAGTACTAGTACCCAAGAAAAAAAGGTGCACTTTTTTAGTCTTAGTCATTGCCATTGGCATGATTCCGATTTCCTCTAACACTAGTAGGAGAGCACCTAAAATGTGTCTGTTGGGACCCTGTTTTTAATGGTTCCCGTTAAACTAAAAAGTCTGAAGTAGTCGTAGACCATATAGACTTTTAGACAATCTAGATGTAGTCACGGGAATCGCCCACTGTGTTTGTTTGTCCCGGTACGTACTTGCAGCGTACCGTACATCCAGTTGCGTGTTCGAGTTTCGAGTTTCGAGTTTCGAGTTCGAGTTCGAGTTTCGAGTTTCGAGTTTCGAGATTCGAGATCGGGTCTGTTCCCAATGCCCGACCAAAAGCTAGATTGGCACAAAACAAAAAACGAAACAGTGCCAAACGAATTCCCATCGGCACAGCGATCGACAGCAAACAGGGACCAGAGATGAATCGCGATGGGTGCCGCCGCACGGCGAACGACTCCTGCCGCCTGTGCCGCTTCGTTGGCCTCGCCGTCGTCGCCGCGAGCGCGATTTCCGTGGTCTTTCCGTTTCCCGGAACGGGCATCGGCGCAACCGACGCCTTTTCGGCGGTGAGAGCGACGAGAAAAGAGCAATTCCATGGGTCGGAGCAACAACCGCCGCCGCATCGGAGGTCGGGTTCGAGGTCGGGTTCGAGGTCGGGTTCTCGCGTTCGATACAACCGCCCCCGCCTCGTTTCGGAACGGCTAATGTCGACGGCCAGCGATGCGGACCCTTTGGGTTCCCACCCCACCGGCGGGAGCACCAGGGACCGCCAAAGCGAACCCAAACTCGACACGCACACCAACACGCACACCAACACGACGGTTGCCTCGGGCGGTGGCTCCAAACGGGAGGAACGGAAGCGATACGACGCGGAGCTAGAGGAAGCCTTTGCGCAACAAACGAGGGAAACGAATCCCCTGCTCGGGGTCAAATCGATCGGTGTGGACTACGGATTGGTCCGAACCGGGGTCGCCGTCACGATCGGGTACAACCCCGAAGCACTGGACGTGATTGTTACGGATCGTCCGCTCCTCTTCGACGACGAGAAGGAAGGAATGTCCGAAGAGGAAGCCGAGAAACAAGAAGAGAAAAGGCTGGAAACACAGCGCTCTAGGGTGGCCGAGCGTGTCGTGGAACTGGCCCGCCGCGAAAAGGCCGATCGCATCGTCGTCGGGTTGCCCCTCCACAAAAACGGGACGGAAGCCCCGCAGTCGATGCTCGCCAGGAAATTCGCCTGCGACCACCTGGCCCCGTCGGTCCTGCGGGTGCTGGGCCCCGGTGTGTCGGTGTACATGTGCGACGAACGGTACACCTCCAAAGAAGCGGCCGCGAGGATCCGAAGCCAGACCTCGCAGAGGAACAACAACAGCAATGATTTGTATGGGCTCCTCGACGCCGAATCCGCAAAGATCATACTGGAGCAGTACTACAACGACCACCTCCAGAGGCACAACACGAAGGGCCGTGGTTCCGTCGATAGAGGAAATGATGATACCAATGTCGACGACGACGACGACAACAACAACAGCAACAATCGTGCCGACCCTAGCTACAACGGAGAACTCGTAACGATCCGAGACCCCAAATTGATCGAGGAGCTTACACTGGAACACAATGAGAGACTCCGGTTGGAACGGGAGAGGCTGGCGGAGGAAAGAAACGAGCGAGAAAATCGGATAAAATGGAGGAAACTCGCCATGGAAAAAGAGAGATTGCGTGCCGAAGAGCAGCGAAAACTAGACGCTGCCAACGGCGTCACCGCGAAGAAGAAAAAGAAGAAGAAGCGAAAAAAGAAATAGCCGAAATCGCTACCATGAAACAAAAGACAATTTGCCACCATCATGTTCGCCTGGGATCCTTCGAAAAAATCGTCGGAACGACCATCGCTTTCAGAACGAAAATCTTCCCCATAATCCTGCCTGTTCTGAGTGAACGGCGGGGGTCGAAACGGTTTTTTGGTCCGGTCGCTTGTTTTCTAGTTTCAATTTATTTTAGAATGTTTCAGCAAAATAGAGATGCCCTCGGTCCCTCTTCACTCGAATACGTACTATCGTAACATTCAAAATCGGAATTCAGGATACAGGAACAAAATCGGCACAATCCATTATTGGCTTAAAATTTCCAAAACCCAGTTGATTTACATCATAGCTTATCGGGAGTGCGTATTGGACTACCCGTTTCAATATATTGATAATAGATTGGATAGATGAGTGTTACATGTTCCCGTGTCTCTCGGAGTGGAAATTTCTGTCCCTTCCCTTAAAACTGCCGGCTCGGAGCGGTTTTCCTTCTGGAGTCATAATAAGATTGGAGGATTTCTTCGCTTTGCTCTTTCCATTTCTCGTGCTTGTACTTCGATACAATCGATCTACCTGTTGTTTGTTCAAGACGGATTTTTTCTTTGGAACGTCATCGCCTTCCCTGCTCGACAGAGATGGACCAGCTCGCATCGAGCCACTCTTGTACAGCTGGGGACCACTTCCGTATTTGAGATAGGCTTTGTGGCGTTCCATGCGCAACAGAGGAGACGCTTCTAGTGACAAGGCTTCTTCGTCGGTTTCATCTGTTGCTGTTGACGACACCGAATAATCGTCACTCGCTTGCCGTCCATATCTTGACTTCTTGCCACTGCCACTGCCACTGCCACTGTTGTATTTCCTTTGTAACCGACGTCGAGCCAATGGTGTCTTTCGTAGAATTGGAGTTTTGATTGCACCTGCCGCGCTTTCTTCGACGGATCGAACGTATCTGTGTACGGAAGGAAAGGTATTGATCAAAACACCACAGCACGCAATTCCAAACAAAACCATGAAGTACTTGTATACTTCTGCTGACACATAGTCCTCCAGGCTTGAAATGCTATGGTTTCCAGTTGAAGGTACGAACCATCCCTGAAAAAGATTGTAGAGCACAAGACAGAGCAGGTTTGGTATGCCTCCGACGCAAAATAGATTTAGCGCACTCGCCAGTACTTTTTGTTCCGGAGGGCTCGCCGTAAATGCCACCTCGTATGCGGCTGAAACTGCAAATATTTCTCCCGCACCAATCAAGACATACGATATCGATTGCCACAGTATGCTGACCTTGTTCCCAGTCAATTCGTAAGTGGAATAAATCTTGTGTTCAAGGAACAGTGCCCATGCTATTGCTAGAGCACCCAGTAAAGAGCCCAGGGCAAATTTGTTCGTCGTCGATATTTTGATATCGTGCCGATTGAGGTACGGATATAAATGCGTTCCGACCAAATGCCCAAAGACCAAAACGGATACAGCATCGGCGTTGTTCATGGAAGCGGCATCGATCCAGCCAAAAGCACGTTTCATAACTGTTCCTTGAATGATAAAGGTCGTGGCCATCTGTGAATACGCAATATTGAATGGAATGATCAATGCGCTGATTTTGAAAATAGTCCCTAAGCCTGATGCACTAGGACTACCATTCTTCGAACTCGACTTCGAACTCGAAGGAGCTGGTGGAACTGAGTCGACGGTATCGACGCTACTGGTAGATGTGGCAGAGTCAATCGACGATGTAACACTCAAAGTCTTCTTCTGTGTTCCAGTCTTCTTGCTCCTTGAACTTCTCCACCACTTAATGTTGACTCCCTTGAACATATCGCCCTTTGGAGGATGCCGAACATACCGTGATGTTCCAGAAAGAAACAGAACGATTCCTATCAATAACATGGCAACAGGGAATGTATAAGCAAGTGTAACATCTGATTGTGCCACTAATGGAACAATGATTCCCCCAATCAATGCACCAATGTTGATGCACATATAGAACTTCACATAGTATGATTCGATCAGAGAGGATTGCAGCAATGGATGGAATTGTTTTGCCCCAAAAACGTTTACAATACTTTTCACAATGCCGGTTCCAACTGGCCACAACACCAGCAAACCTGTGCACAGTGCCTTATGACTGAACGTCTCGAGTCCCCATAGATGCGGAATAGTTGAGCCCATTATCAAGAGCAACCCCGGGATGTAAAAACAGAGAGATCCAACCAGCATTGCTTTATAGTCACCCAGGAAACAATCTGCGAGGACAGCCCCAGCAAAGGGGGCCGAGTAAGCCACAGCCGTTGAAATTGACACCATCGAGGAAGCTTGGACTGCGGACATGTCAGCATTCCAGCGATCTGATTCAAGAAAGTGCTTTTTACGATCGTCATAGGCACCAGTCAGGAAAGATGTCATGGTATAGTTCACGCCATAAAAACTGAATCGTTCGAGCAATTCGACCAGCAAAATAAAAATGACAGAATAAATCATAGGATTCAACGCATAGGTCGAAACATTCCCATTTTCGTCGACATGCCTCAATGGTCGTTCTTTCTTTGTCTTTGAGTTCTGGTTTAGACAAACGAGAGGCAACGAAGAAAGTTGGTCTATTCTCGAAACATCATTGGGCAATTCTTCTTCTTCGTTGTTGTTGTTGTCGTCGGCGTTCTTGATGATATCATTTTTATTCAACACACCCGCCTCGTGTTCGCTGGTGCTCGCAGTGACATCAGTCTGATTTCTACCAGGCAACAAAGACAGCTTCTGCTCTTGGTCTGATGTTTTTGCAGAGCCTGATTCCATTGTATAATTTTAGACCGAAATTTGCGGCCTACCAGCAAATCAGGTTAAGGACCGAAGCGGGAATGTTGTGGTAGTGTGCGATGCTTGTATTCTGTATCTTACTTTTTGCTTTGCTTTGTGCCTCTTTGTATCTCGCTCCGATCATTCTGTGCACCAAGAGAGGAATATATTGTCGTTTATCATGAACTTTTCCATTCGATTTGTTCGTTCGACGAACGCCAAGATTCGGAGTTGCACATTCAGATTAGTTCAGATCTCAGCCACCTAAATTACTCGAAAGCATTCTTGGAAAAACTGTCCGTGTCCCGTCTTCAAGAGTGCACTTTCGAAACTCAACGGATCGATCGGAATTGAAGTACCGGTACGAGTACGTACCAGACTGTACCATAGGTACCGTTACATACAGTAATGTACGTAATTGCGTCATCCTGTTGGGATTTACAGTAGATAGGGCACGTCAGTATGTATGTACCTGTGCGATACACTCGTTCAAAGTCTTACTAACGGTACGTACGAGTTTAATCGAAGCAAAATGCGTTAACCATAAACACTAGCAGGTAAAAGACACTGGATAAGGATTTTGAAAAGACACTAGTCCCCTCTGCTGAGCCGCGACTGGTCCCTTCTGCTGAGCCGGTCCTCGCTGAGCCGGTATGCCTTTCTCCTCCACTGAGCCAGTGGGGGGGAAAGAGCTGATTGCTGGCAACGTCAGAAACAAGCAAGATGTTGTAAAAAAAGAGTTGCTACTGCAGCACATTAAAACAATACTTCTACCAGGTCCTTTGCTACAGTTCAAGGCTTGTTAAATTGACAATTAAAGAGAGCTATCCATTGATACCAAGTACAGTGTCTAAGGTTGAGTGGAAGTGTTTAAAATAGAGCAATTCCCATGGTTGGTTGCTTTGAACCGAGTTTTTTGATTAAATGCAAAGAACAGTTCTAGCGTACTGAAGGAGACAAGTTTTTTGGCAGGCCACCATAGGCCTCAGTACAATTTTGAACGCGCAATAAAAACCCAAGATGCTGAACAGCTGCTGGGTCTGCCGGTGTGCCACCTAGGCCTACTGTTAGAACGTTCTGAACCCCTTCATTAACGAAAGTTCAATTGTAACTTTACGTGTAGTATTTATAACAGATTCGTTACAGAAGGATGAACTGATGTTCTTTCGAAAGAAAATCATAGTAAAACATAACTTTCGCACTTCGTTCGTTTTGTCTAGGGAGGAACATTCTGCGCAACAAAAAAATAGTAAAATTTCAAAGACTATGCTAGGAGTACTTTATGAAGCCCAATCCTCTATGAAAACAGTAATATTATGACCTCCTCTACCGCCTAGCCTTTGGCAAAGGCCCACGAGATTGATTGAAGGGTTGTATTGAAATCAAGATTCATTTTTCCAAATCAATTGGTAATGCTGTCGATGGTAGATCAATACCTCATTCGAACCATTGATATGGATCTATTCCTACGTTTTGCTGAAGATGCGACTCTTTATTGATTGATATAGGGCTATCAATAGTCGTACCGAGACGATGAGTCTGTTTTGGAATTTGAAGTTCTCTGAGAACGTCTAGCAATGGGTTTGGCGCCTCGATTTCACCTGTACGTACAATGCAACCTAGCATCTTCTTCTGGGGCATTGCACAATTTGCTTTCGAATCAATTCACTTTATAGTTTGCGCTCAAACATCTTTCGGTTTGTCCGAACGTGGAGAAGAAGAATTCGTCGCACCATCGGCGAGACACAAAGAACCAGTAGGACATTCTGCCTCTTTGGATATGCGTTCCTGTTGCTGTTGTTTTTGTTGCAATATTGCTGCCTTGGTGTATCCACCCCGTTCCAGCGCATCCTTTCGCAGCGACAGAGGGAAGAAAACTTCTTTCCAATTCTCGACAAAGCCACGATTGTACAGGTTCTTTGGAATCGGACCCGGATCAAAAGATTCCTGTGACTCTTGTTTTTCCGAATCACCGTGAGCATTTCCAATATCCGTACTTCGCTCGCTGTTGGTACTTGTCTCAAACGGATTTACTTTTGCTTCTTCAACGGCGGCTCGATGCATCTTTTGTTTTGCTTTGTACCATTTTTTGACGTCACCCCACTTACTGTTTTCGTTGGTTGTCTGTCCCATCGACGTTATATAAATGTGGTAACCCAAAAAGCAGGTCAAGGCAATTCCCATCAGAAACATCACAAGTGTCACACCAATCTCTTTGGACCGCCGAGCAAACATGTACTGGAAGATCAGAAATTTAGATGCGTTAACTTTTTCACCAGTCGCACGATCAAAATACGTCATGTCCATTAACCGCTTCGTTGTTATTTCTTCTTGAAACAAAAGGCAAGCAACATAAGTTCCGTAAAAGCACATAATAACGTGCTGCAGCAAGAAAAGGAGAAACCAACGATAGTTTTCTTCTCCGTAAGTGTTGTTTGTCCACCCACAGTAATGGTCGTATCGGGGAATAAGTCCATCATATTTCATTCGATCGTATTTGCATCGTGGAATTTTGAATAATTTCGTTGTTTGACACTTGGTATTGGTCTGGAACAACAAGTCGTCGTATGGATAGTGATCGTATCGACGAAAGGACCTTGCAGTGACAATGCCGGGACGACTGGCGTTGGCGATAGCCCAAGCTCCGAAGCACGCGAAGAAGACAAAGACTCCAATTACTGCGTGCGTGTTCGGTAGACCAGGACTGTCGTACAGCAACCATGGGTACAATCTCCCGAAGACAACTGACCAGGATCCACCAACAACACAGAAATATGTAACTACCAGAAACTGACTAGGTCCGTTCTTAAAATGCTCCTCCCCAAAGACACGTGTAAAGCGATTCCAAAGGACATCGGGTAACGTAACTTGCATGAAATACGCAGTTTCACTGTCGCTTGGACTGGAGCAAGCGCAGTAATAGACGATAAATAACGACCCAAACAAATACAGCACCAAAAAGGCGATTCCGATGGGGTTGATTGCGATCATTTAGGATCTTTGTTGATTGTGTTTGTTGGCGCTGGCCGTGTCTGTGCCTGCCCTTTCGTTGGCGATTGTCGATTGTTGCCGTCTAAACCTGATCGATATGTAATGCTGAACGGGTGGTTCCAAAGTGACACTTTTGCTTTTCCTATTCTCCCAAGTGTTGGCCCGATTCGATGATTATTCTTTAGCACCCTACTGGTAAGGTAACATTCGTGCTGTTCTCTACACTATCGGGTGCCCATGCCATGTTATCAATGACAAAATGGTGTTGTCGATACCCCCGTACCGTACCGTACGGTACCGTACCTCAGACCGGTCCAGAATTTACTCCAGTACGAGTACGCGTTGCGGATGAATTGAAAGTACGTTTCACAAATTTAACATTCCGAATGGTAGCAGCGTAGTCGATGTAGAAACGAGTACTACCCAGGTACTGTGGTTTTTGCTTCAATCATGGAAGTCGAGAAGAAAAAAAAAATACTAGAATAGTTTTTTTCGACTGAAATTGTTGATGGAAAGGGGAGTCTGAGGGTAGAAAACCTAAAAATCCAGTATGAAGTTTTTTTAACGTAGACCGTAGTACAAAATGAATGGCTGTTTTTAGGCTCTATAAACTGTTTCTTCCAGAAAATGTACAGAGCCAATAGTCGCTGTTTCTTTGAAAGATAACAGTTTCTTCCACAAAATACATTTTATGCCAGCAGTCCACTGGATGATGACAGTTCAACAACTTCCACTTCAAGCGAACCGCAAAAGATCTAATTCAATGTCCTGAATGCTCTGATTAACAGCCTGAAAGTTACTAGGAGAGGAGGTGTCCTCTTCTTGTTCCTCTGCATTCTCTTTTATAGATCCTCTTCTATAGATCCCTTCTTCCTTTTTAGCCACGTTCAAGACTGAATGAAGAATGTGGATAATACTAGTAGGATCTACATAGTACGTTAAATATACATTTGGAAAGACATTTCTAGTAACATTTGGAATGTTAAATTAAGATTGGGAACGCCCTGGTATGAAACGTAGTTTCAATTGATCTACAACGCGTTGTAGTAGGAAACTTGTGAAGCATACGTATGGTACCAATGTACGGTACAAGGAACAAACCCTGATGTGTTGCACGAATCTGAGACAGGTTTTGTATTGTGTACGGCCCGGTAGTACACTAAAATGCAATAGATTTTACTAACTGAAGAAATCAATCTATTCAACTGACCTGTCTCGCCCTCCACCCTCCACACTCCACACAGAGCTATAAGCAACACTTCCCTAAGCCCTCAGTTATTATTTTTTAAAATAAAATAGTTTCCTGTACACCCCACAAAACAAATAGTAGAAACAAAGAGAATCTTCCCTTGTTTAGACCAAGGGCAATATTCTCATTGTTTCTCATTGTTGCAACAAAGAGAAAGTAAGATAATATTGCCTCTCCTTGTTTCTCATTGTTTCCCATTGTTTAAATAAGGAGAAACACAGAGAATATTGCCTGGGCAATGTTCTCATTATTCTTTCTGTTTGTTTAAGCAGAGTGAATATAATCTGGGCACTATTCTCTATATTTTTACATGGTGAAATGTTGGGTGCAATTTCTGTTCATACAAAGAGAAACAAAGAGAATATTGCCCAAGCAATATTATCTTTGTTTCTTTATGTTTAAACAAAGAGAATATTGCTTCTCCTTGTTGTTTCTCTTTGATTTGTCAATTTTTGTACAAAGAGAAACAAGAAAGATAATATTGCCTGGGCAATTCTCTCTTTGTTTCTCTTTGTTTAATCATGGAAAAAAATCTATGAGAAACCCTGATCTTGGTTGGCAGCTGTCTTCCTCAAAAACTAAAGGAGGGCTGTGCCACACAACCACTTGAATATCTTAATTACAATACAAATGAGAAGCAGATCAGGAAGTTGCAGACTAATTTGCTGAGTGGTGGTTTAGAAGACAAAATAGTAGCACTGGTGGTGTAACTACCACTACTACAAAAAGAAGTGAGAAAAAAAGACAAGGACTTGGAGATAGGTCAGAAATGCTATAAAAGGGGCTTGGATTGGTCAAAAACAGTTTATTGAGACAGGTTGAGATACAGAATCCAAATAATATGTATGATTCTCTGCATAGAGGAGCCACCATGTAAAATTTGTACCAGCTCTGGACCTGTCCCACCCTCATTAAAATCACCATCAATCATTCCTTGCCTTGAAGAACAACTTCCAACCAGACAAGTTGAAGACAGAGAACATCTCAGTGACGCATGCCAAGGATAAGAAGAAGCTCACAAGATAGTTTGGTTCACAGGAACTATTCTATGTTGTTCAAGAAGACTTTGGAGATGCATCGTTAGACCTTGAACTGAAAGACAAGCTAATAGATCAGAAGTGTCAAATGGTCCTTATGCAAGCCCCTAGGATTAAGTGGAACAACCTAGTATGGAAAGGAGAGATACCCTTGAGCCAGGGAAGGACAAAAAAGAATGAGTGGGAGAAGGTGTTGTAGGCTTTAGAAGTATGCTCCATTGAGATGGCCCAAGATGATATTATTGACTACCTCATGGTAGCAGCCCAGCAATAGGTGCTGAGGTTAGGGGTTTGAGTCCCCACTTGGTCGCGCTTTTGGAAAGACTCTTCAGAGTGAAGCGCCACCCTTCAGGGCAACTAGCTGCATTCTCCCTTTGGATTTAGTAATGGTTCTGGCCATTTAGTGCCTCTACTAGTTCACAAAGTAAAATATAATATTAAGATTTTTTTATTATTGACTACCTCAACTCAGATGCAATCCAGCAGAAGACCCCAGGAGCATCCTGCCAAACCCATGCTGACAGGATCCTAAGCTGCTGCACATGGGCTAACCTCCTTCACAGAATATGCAACCCATTATCATCCTGAGAGAAACAGATTGTGTCCTGGTCTTTTCCCAAGCCATGGCAGAATGGATATATCCTCAGTAGCAGAGATATACTGGACAAGACAGTGGATCAGATTGTTCAGTACATGACAGACCAAAAAGGAATACCACATGAATAGTCTACAGGCAAGAAGAGAGCATCTTCCAATCATAAGAGTAAAAGAAAGTATGGCAAACAGAAGGTATCCTTTGAACAAAGAGAAAAGAGAAGAAAGGCAGACACTGCCCCATGTATTAAGCACAATTGAGCCCACACATGGGGAGAGTGTCTAGTAGACAATAAAAGAAAAAAAGAAGCAACAGTGGATGTGGAGGCCAGTGTGGCCAGGAAGAGCCAATGGCAGATGCAGAGGCAACTATAACAATAATAACGGTCATGGTGGCAACAACAACTATTACTCTACAAGGAGTTACGATCAGCTCACTCTGGAGGTAACCACAGCAACAATAGACACAATAGAAACAAAAACAAAAGGAAAAACAAAAACAAAAACAAAAACAAAAACAACAACAACAACAACAACAACAACAACAACAACAACAACAACAACAACAACAACAACAACAACAACAACAACAAACACAAAAACAACAAACACAAAAACAAAAACAACAATGGGGAGATACATTCCAGCACACCAGTCACATGGCCCTCAATGCCAGTTCAGAATGAACATGGACCCAGTCAACTATGAAAAATAATCATCAACACTTTTGAAATACTCACAGTACTACCCCTTAAGGAAATAAATTCCCTAGTTGAGGGTGGACAACTCTGGAAAATCTACCTATTAGCAGGCCTTATCAGCCACTCTCTCATATGGCACCATCTACATCAGGCTAATGCAGTCTGTGGGAAAGTACATCAAACCATTGCCAATGTACTTCAAACCACACTGCACACCAGGCCAGAAAATGAATCCAAATTTGATGGAGACTAAATAATTTACAATGCTTTAGCCTCTGCAATACACATTACCAGATGCACAGTAAGCACATCATTACACACCTCACCAGGAGCCACAGTATTCAATCAAGACATGTTATTGGACATTCCCCTCATAGTAGCAGATCTAACTGTCATCAGGGACAAAGACAACACCTGATTGATGGAAACCTAAGAAGGGAGAATGCCAGAAGAATCACTTTCAGATATCAAGAAGTTGGACAAGAACAGGCCTACACTAAGTTTTATGAACCAGACAACAAGCTCTCCTCACAAAGACTTCACAGACCATATCCCATTGTGGAGGTTAACACCACCAATGGCACCTTGGCATTGCAAAGAAGGGACAATTTTCACCAGACAGTGAACATTTGGAAACTAGTACCTTATGAAGGCAACGTGAATGACACCCCTACTGAGTCAGCCATAGGCCAAGTACTACTAAAATCTACAGGAACAGGAACAAACTAAAGTGTTGCATCTGCTCTAACACAGATTAGCCCGTGAAGGGTGTGTTGACACTTTAGACACAGAATAAGATTACTAGAACGCATTTTTAATACACATTAAAACCAATTCTAGATTTTGTTTTGTGCAGTGAGGCTACTATTACTTTTAGTAGTAGTACAAGGAGTACTACTAGTAGTAATTGGTTTTGTGTTACTATGTGACCATTAAGTTCACACCAGAGTGTAGCTATGATTTATCCTCCCAACTCTGGCCAGAAACTTAACATTTTGAGACCTTTTGAGAGTATTGGGAGCAACAGACAGCCAACAAACTACAAAACCCAGTAGTAGAGACCGCAACACATTTGGATAAATGAAGTGCAAGAGTTTTGAAGCTCATTCTTCAGAAAGCAGCACAGCAAGGAGGTGTTGTGGTAAGATGAGACTAATGAGATCAGTGACAGGTACACACTGTAGACAATAGCACCACAGCCCAGCCTTGAGGCTCTGCCACCACCACTGGTACCAACGCTTGGGCCCCAGCTCCTGTACCCTGGGCATCTCCCCCGCTCAAATATGTCAAAACTTCCTTGAGCACCCAAGATGTCCAACTACCACCAGCCCAACAGCCAGCCCAGGCACCAATACCTGCTTCCCATCTAGGGCCACCACTGACTCTGCTACCAGCCACCCAAGGCAACCATTACATGGATTTCCCCTCCAAGCTCTCCCACCTCTGCCTTGCCCCATTCGGCAACACCAACCCCATCAACAGCACCGCGGACTTTGAGCTTGCCTATGACAAATTTTCCCTGACATTCTCACCCACTGAACTCCATCTTCCATGGTTCTATCCTCCATACACTCCTGGCCACCCTGACCACCATTGGACACATCCAAAACCCTATCAACTTTGAGTGGAAACAAATGTTGGACCCTACAGTGGCCCCAAGGCTCTTAAACACCATCCTCCTGGAGCTCAGTCTTAATGCCAACGCCTCCTGAGCCACAGTCAAATTCCACCACACTTTCTGAATGTACTTCAGCTCAGCCCGGCCCACCTCCTTTATGTTGGCTGCTATGCCCTTTTGTAAATCCCCAATCAAAAGGTGCACAACCTTGGATCATATTCCACATAGGCAATGTCCTGGAATGACAGGTGAAATTCCCAGGGAGAGGCAACCAAGTACACGTCTACTAAAAGCTTGGCAGCAAGCTCTTCCCAGTTTGGGGTGCCAAGTAGCCCACCAAAACATATTGCACAGACATCAAAATCCTTGCCACCTACAAAATATGACATCCAAACCAGTCTATGATCCCCTCCCTGAGTGACTTGTTGTTTGACATGAAAACCTCTGCATTGTCCACCAGTTCCTGTTGAGCCATGCCCCGGCCACCATGATGCTTTTCCACTACAGGCCTATTGCTGCAAATGGTAACAAAATGGAGACAAAAAAGGTACAGACCATCCACAGAGACAGCGCCCTGCAGCTATCTGACCCTGCTATCACACTACTTGTAAGTAAAAAATCTTAATATTAAGCCTTGTGAACTAGAAGAGGCACTATATGGCCAGGACCATAGCTTCAGAATTGAAGTTTGCTTCTAGCTGCAACGAGGGGCAGCACTTCCCTCCGAGGAGTTTTGTGGAAGCACGACTGGGTATCACACTACTTGTAAGCAAAATTAGTCGAATCTCAATTTAGGCAAATACAACTTAGATTTTAACATCACTACCCTAGTACATACCAAGGGTAACATAGAACTCAAAAGGCTCTTAGTAAACCATGATACAACACCCTGAGCTATGAAGAAGGAACGACAAGGCTCCAACGGCTCAGGCTAAGGGCTGTCAGGAACAATAGCGCTTAGCAGAATAAAAAATTAAAATACGGCGGTTTTGTACAAAAAAAGTTGTGTGTACCACTACGTCACTACTTTTGTAGTTTGTCTGCTTCGTGCTTCAAAATTAAAGTGGTTGGAAACTATGTGCTCCTATTGCATTTACATACAAATAAAATCGCAAGGGAGTTTTTTGTGGGAACCAAATCAAATCGTGTAATTGCTGATTCATTTACACTTTTCCCCTTCTACAATCGAGATAAACTCGTGTCGAAAGGAACCGTCGTCTAACACTTCTACTAGTCGTACTCCCAGCGTGTCTGGTTCGTCTAGCACCAAGCCTTCCGCGTGTCTTTGTGCTTTTTTCTCAATCTTCCCGGTGCTTTCTAGCATCGCAGAGAGTGGGCCGGTTACGATCATTTTCATCCCAAACGAGGTTTCCGAAACAAGGTTTTGGTGAAAGTGTCCAGAAAAGGACGCCGCGACGCCGTACTTGCGAAAGAGATCCAGGTGAGGAAGCCTTCGCTCCTTGGGAATCACGAAATAACTGTCGGGTATCCGACTGTTGTTCCATTCGCAGAATCCCGACATGGTAGCAGGTTCCTCGTTTTCGTCGTACAAAAACCATGGGTGATGACCGAACACAAAAATGATCGCCTCATTGTTTTGTTCATTGGATGTGTCGTCATTCTTCGAACTCATTGTTATTGTTTGTCCCGATGTTGGCTGTTCCCCTTTCAATAGGTTGTGGTGTGGCGATGAGAATGCCGATCGCACCTCTTTCAGTCGCTCTTCCATCCACTGAAACTGGTCCCGGGCCATTTCTTCGATCGTTTCTTCTCCCGACGAAGCGCTGAACAAAGTAGTGTTGAGGACTATATTGTAAACATTTGGCGCACTCCAAAAGGCAAGATAGTCATCGCCAAATTCTTTCCGATACAATTCCATCGAACGTTTTGTGGGACGATTGCCCACGTCGTGGTTGCCACAGAGACAGACCAGAGCAATGTCTTCGTGCAACTCTGACCAGACCACCTTGAAATCCTTCCGTTGTTGAAGCTGGACCTCGTCGCATTCTTCCATTGTAAATCGGCTCCTGGCTCCTTTGCTGACTTCAAACGATCGGTCCATATCCGTCAAATCCCCACAGACGCAACAAAATGCCGGCCGTGGGTGCATTCCATTCATAAAGTGTATTGCCTTTCGAGAATATTCGATTTCTTCGTCCCAGTTCCTGTTGTCGGTGATCATACCGTATTGAGTGTCTGCGCAAATGACAAAGCTGTGGGAAACTTTGGGCAGCACACTCGCTGCTGTCGATGCAGTGCGATCGTCTATTGGATTGCCCGATCCTTTGTTTCTGTCGTGATTTTTGGGAGTCTCATCGGAAACACCGTGGTCGACACCTTCGTTCTTCGGGACGATCTTCCTTTGCTGCGGAAGTTTTGGATGCAGCAAGGTTTTACCACGCTGGCTTTCGTCAAACCTAGGCGTCATTTTTCCAATGATTTGTTTTGCAGGAAATTTTACCTTCTACTCAGAAAGATTGGCAACCGGTTTGTTTAGTTCTTTTATGTCGATACGAGTTGTTCAAGATGGTGCTCTAACATCAGTAATGGTATTACGTACGAGTACTGTTCCGGTAAATACGGTAGTGCAGATAAAAGATGATTTCTGTTCCCTGTCTCTTTTCTGTGAGAGGAAAAAGATTCATTTTTGTTCCCTGAAACGACGGATGAGATTCATTCCAGACGACAAAAGACAAGAAGAAGCAGTCGTAAAAAATACTTGTTACTTTCAAACAATTTTTGCTCATTTTTACAGGGACGTGAGGTATTTACGATTTTACCTACTGGAGCCATGTACTAGACCCGCAGAGGAATCATGTGGCCGCTAGCTGTTTGAACAGTCCTGTTACCTTAAGATTTATACTCATACTTAAGGGGGGGCTGGGAACTTTGAAAAAATTTCTGGTAGCTTAGCATATATTATGGTAGCATTTATGGTCGCAATATGGTAGCATTTATGGTTGCAATATGGTAGCATTTCTAGTCGCAAGAATCTGGTAGCATGGTAATCATTATTGTATTATGGTAACGTCTCTGGTAACAGATATTTTTAGCAATAGTGTTGCTTAATACGAAAGGGTATGCGGGGACTCTCCTCGTAATAGTAGAATTTTTTTCTGGTAGGAGAATGCCATTACTTGTACCATATTTGGACAAAAAATTCTACCAGAATTTCTACCATATGGTAGCATTTCTAGTCACCATCTAGTAGCATTAATTGTCAAAATCGGTAGCATGTTTTTCCTACCAGAAAATTTTTCATAAATTTCAATTTCTTGCAGCCCCCTCTCAAATTTTCAGGTCGGTTGGAATCAAAATTCCTAGCGCCAGCAAGCTGTAGTCCCATGACCACAGTATTGCCTGGTAGCATGCCTGGCATGGTAAAATCGTCAATACCTCACGTCCCAGGTAAATGTTAGAAATAACTGTCTATGCAAAAAAAAAAGTTAAAAATTGTCATCCAACTTCTTAAAAAAATTCTGGCAAGGAGAATGGCCAAGCCAGGATTTTTTCAGAAACTTCACCTGTTTACTCTGTAGAACTCAGCGGACTACCATTACTCGCGCATGACTTTTTCAGAAATTGAATGCCATTTTTTAGTACCCCACTGGAACAACAACAAGAAATAACAGATAACCAACTAGTACTACTAACCGGAACTGATTCTGAACCAGAAACAGAAAAAGAAACACCAGTAATAGCAACTACTCAGACAGGAACAATGGATAAAGTAATAGAGCTCCCACTATTCTATGTCACCATGATGGAGGACTTTGAAATGGCTCTTTTGATTCCAGATGAAGCAGCCCAGAAAGAGGAAATTAAAAAATTGGAGACTCACTACAAAGCCTGCAATTGGATCACAGGAGGGCTGGTTAATGAGGTCAAGTCTCTCTTCTTGACCAGCACAGACATTGATTGGGAACAAAACAATCCAAGAGACTTGTTTGTCAAAGTTCAAGGAGGCCATGGAGAAATTCTGCATTCCTGACGGGAAGTTTGCATCTCCCTATCAATTCTATCAGATCATGACTGTCCTTTGTTCCAAGTGGTCTGTTAAGATTCCATGTACTAACAATTCAATCTGGTGCCACTGCAGGCAACACACCAGAAAAAGAAGGGTCCATGAAGATCCAACAAGGTGCTGGAAACTGAGGGAACTACCTGTCTACAACTGTCCGCTTGCAATAAAATATTCCCTCCCAGGCATCTGCACTACTACCAAGCCCAGGATTCTACTCAATCTCAATATTACCTCTGTGAATTTGCACCACACATGTTCATTGAACACTATCTGCTACCAGGTTGCTGTGTGCAGGTCAGGATTATCAGTTGTCAATTTGGAATCAATGCAGGATATACTCCTGTCCCTCATTCAAGTGAATCCCACCATGTTTGCAAGTGAACTAAGGCCTTTCATTGCAAGACATATGCCTCCCCATGTATCATTAACAGCAAAGCAAGTGGGGAATTTCCGTCTGAAAGCAATTGAATATCTAGCAGTTTATGGTAATAAAGAGGTTACACAGGAAGATTCATGCCAACTACTATTTGGGAGTGGAGGTTGTGAGGAATCTATTGAGGCAGATTCATCAATAAATAGGAAGGAAATTGAGAAACTCCTCTGCAATATGATGACTAGAGGGGACATTTGGACTGTAATTGATGTCTTTGATGAGCTGAAACAAACAAAGTCTAAATTTTGTTACTTGATGAAGATGCAAATGCATCAAGCCATCCAGAAAGCAACCAAATATCTTCAGCACAAAATGGAGGATGGGATTGTGTATTGTTTTCCTGCTGATGGTGATGAAAGATCATACAAAGCTGTTTCTTGGGTAGAAGGCAGAAGGTGCAAATGCTGTTGTTCTCATGACATGGACTTCCAATGTGAGCATGAACTCAGAGTTGATGGTGAATTTCTTGTTCACAAATTTTGTTCTAGGTGGTTGCAGGATCATGATAAGTACAAGAAGGTAAATCCTTCCTATTCCACTTTGCTCATTGCACCAGCTGATCTACCAGTTTTGGGAACATGCATATCTGATGATACAGAATCTGATGATGCTGGGTTTGATGGTGAGGGTGATATTGACTTCTTGAGTGATCAGGATATGAGCTGTGATGATGTTGCTGATGTGAATGGCACAAAACTCTCTTCACAGCAGCTGTATTTGTTTTGGCACACTTGCTGGCACCATGTGTTCTCAATACTTTGTGCTTTTGGCATGCCTGCTGGCACCATGTGTTGGCTATGGTGCAMTGCACTGCACTTTCACTATCTTTAGTGCGCATAGCCAGTAACCTTGAAGAATTCTTACGACAGTCCTGGACTTCCCGAGTGTGGATTTGTACAAACCCCGGTATATTAATTTTTGCAAATAAATTAGTACCTTGACCAAAATAAATTATTCATTTTTAACTTAAACATTCAGTCATTATTATGACAATGAGTCATTCTAGCAATAACCTAGTTTTTTTGCACCGTAGTAATTTTTTTTGGCTGCCGCCCTCCTTTAAAAAAAAAACAATGGCGGCGGCCGCAACCAATTCTCAATATTTGGCAAGAATCCAGTAATTTTCTGTTAATTTCAAGCAAAATTCCATATTCCAAAATTACTGCGTGTTAATAAGTGGTTTACAATAGAAGAGTGAGGTTATTCACTAGCTACTCGGGATTTAGCCTCACAAGGGCGCCATAATTCAATATCTATTCTATTGTTCTTTGTACTGTAGTTAAATACTTAATCCCGTTGCCCCCATAAAAACGAATTTGTGAAGATCGCGACTAGATCGGAGAGACTTGGTCTGTAACAGGTTGTAAGAACCGTATCCGCATGTATGGAAGAGGCTGAATTGCCGTCCATTTACTCAGAAGACCCTACCCCGTGACAATGAAAAGGAAACTCACGATCACGAACTACTGTTTGGTTCATCGAACTCGAGTTCCTTTCGATTTCAATTATTTCGATCGAGTGAGCTTAGGGCCCGTGCCTCTTGGCATCGACTGACAATGCCGATGGAATGAACGGGGACAACAAGGAATAACAAGGAATTATTACAGGTGGAACGAGATGTTTCGCGCCTTTGGAAAGGTCGATACATTCGTACCGTTGGACCGTGGGAAAAAGCTAATGGAGCCTTGCTGTTGCATTTGTTGATGGAAACTTTTTTTTTTTAATAACAATGGCATTATGCGATGCAGAAAGCAGAACTGAAAGGCGTGAGCAAAACGCGATTTCGAGAAAAACATGTCAGTCATGTGCACACGGTATAAAAATCAAGAATTGTGCTGCGTTTGCGTCGTTCAGAACACGATTATGAGGGAAGCAATTGTTTGTGTTCTACGAACCTACAAGCTTCCTCATCCAAATGTACCTGGTCCTCGACAGGTTGAATTGAGACATTGTTTCAACCAGCAAGCGTTGAACGAACACTAAATATTACAATGTTACTCAGCTGCCAATCTCCGTGCGAGAAATATATTCGACAAGTGGCTCACGATAATGATGTAATGTTTCTATAGCGACTCGTGTTCCAACTATGTTCGTGTTGCGCATTCATGGACCTTGGGTAAGTGGCGTTATTAATATTCTACAGTAGTTTCGAGATACCGCAAAACCCTTACCTCGGGCTCAAAATTGTTGCAAAGGTTCACTTGCACAAACAAAATGAAGTTGGCATACGCCTTCATACGGTTTAGTAGTTGATCGAGTAAAATGAACCTTTACAATCATCCCACCCATTTCTTTTTCATTGGTTGAGAGGTTCTAGCCATTCATAAGGACATAGTCTCATTGCATTATCCACTACAGAAGTCGAACCATCGGCCAGCGAAATTGGCAAGCATTTGTGGTGAGCTGCCTCAACTTCCCATCTTTCTGCCTTCTACATATCACTGACCTCTAGAGCCCAAAGGGGCCACTTTCTGACATTCCGTCGTGTCTAACTTTCTTCCAAAATTCTAATAATGCAAACAGAAACATCCATTTCGGGACGACAAAAAGAAAAAACCTTTCGGGTCCAAGATTGAATACCTTCAAAAGAAACTAATTTGCGTGGTCCCAAAACTCGACCTATTGGTTGGGTTTGACGTATCATGGCCCCAACTCTGATAGCAATAATTTAGGTATCTTTTGAGCTCGCTCAGCTTCTGTGCTTCTGCTGTTCTCTTCTTTTTTACGTTTGATACTTGGAAGCGCAGGAGAAGAATCGATCGAATTTTTGTCACCCAAGCTCTTTGAAAGTTTGACGGAATTACTTTCTGAAACCGCAATTTGTGGTTTCGTCGTAGCTTTGTATGTACTCGGCATGTTCGCATTGCTTTCCTTACTTTGACAGATTTCCGTTTTGCTCTTATTTTCTTCCTTCAATTTATCGATTGGTTTTCTTTCAGCTTCTTTGTTATTGGGATCGAGGTTGGCGTGCAAGTGACGGGATCTAAAGTTTTGTTTCGTAACGGGCTTTTTACAATAGAAGCAATACCTAAACTTCACGCCAGCTGCTCTGCAGACGGAGTGCGAACAAAGCAGATGTTGCCCGTGTCGGGCGTTTTCGGGTATGTCAAAGAATGCGGTCTATAGCGGTGAATTGAAATAAGAAATTGCATTAGTTGCCCTCGCACAGCACAAAAGAATGCTTGCAATAAAATCATTGCAGCATGAGTGATACTTTTCGGCCTATTCTAAAGACTTACAGATGAGTTGTGATCAGCTTTCATCCCTCTTGCACCGCAAGGAAGGCGGATAGTCCGTGGAACGTGGACCTGGGCCGCTTCGAGAAATGCAACTTGAGCCTGCTTGGCCAAGATCACATCAGTCAACCTCTTTTCGTTCGCTTTCTGGTAAGAGTTCAATGCAGCTTGGGTCAGTGCTTGATGTTGAATAGAAAACTGAGATAACCCCCCCATGGAAGAATTCAGGGATCCAGCACCAACAGATCCGTTGCTTCTAAGTTTAGTGTTATGTTCCCCAGTGATTTCTCCCACTGCAGTATATGGATTGGAGCTCGAGAGAAAATCTTGTTCAGTGCTAGGATATAAGAAACCCCTGTTCCCCAAACCCCTGACATTTCTAGCTCCACGACCACCACTACTGATCCCATCTATTAATGCACTCGTAGGAATAGTTTGTCCAATGCCACCACAATCTCTCCCTACTAATTGGTGACCCAACCCAGCGATATTGGATAGGCCTGGGATACTAGGATTGGACGTCATATCGCAAGGGGCGCAGATAATCCCGTTTGCTACAAGCTGTCGTTGTTGCTGCCGTTCCTTTAGGAACGCAATCATGCGATTTTGAAAGTGCTGTTGCTGGTGCATTCCGAGACCGATGCCGGTATTGGATACTCCGATCGATGTAGTATTCGTTGCTATGAATCCTGAAGGAGCTGAGCAATTACCAAATGAACTGTTCCCATCGCTGATATTTTTGTTTACAGTCGAATTGATGTTATTCCCATTCTTTCGCTGGCATAGTTGTTGCTGAAGTAGTCGTTCCAGATAAATTCCTTGATTACAGTCCATCGTGGTTGGGGTCGCGCTGTACTGTGGTGGAAGCATGATAATACCCGAAACTTTTTCGCTTAGAACGACGAATATTAATGTGATCAGGTGAAAAAAAAATTTAAGTTTAGAACGAGCGTTGCACCAAATCTCAAAATTTAAACAGTGATCGTTGAGCACGTCCATAGGTTATGGACAATTTTGAAAAAGTTTTTCTGTGACGATCAATATCACCTGATGGGGAGATAGGATTATGGGAGATTTTGAAAACTTAAGTAAGCTTGTAGTCTTCTTCAGATTTTTTGTTGTGACAGTGGCTCGAATAAGTCTGTAAGGCTATAATTTCATGGGGATTCAATGAAACAGAAATATCAAATCGTGTTTGACGTTCATCTTGAGACCCGAAAATATGAATTGCCTGATTAAAGGTTCGTTCAAAAATATATAATCCCATTACAAAAGGGCGAACGCAATTAACAAATGCAAAAAGGAGTTTCAGCGAATAAATTCAAGACTTAACAGACTACATCAGTAAAATTTAATTGATTATAGTCTTTAAAAAAAAATATTGAGCATGCATTTTTCGAACATTATACGTATTTTTTTTTCGTCACAAAGACAATTAAAGTTCAGGAGTTGCTTTCAGCAGTTATTCGTTTTCCTTCTTTGGGGAAATCATATTTTCTCGTTTATAGAAAATATAGACCTATAAAAAGTAACTGGGGAGAATTGGCGACCCCAACCCTTTGGACTAAGAGCCACTTATTATGCTCAAAGGTCATTTTTTTTAGGAAAGTCTGACCTCTATGTAATGTCGTATCTTTTGAATTACTGCGTAAAAGCCCTGAAAGTATTTCAAAATCCGATCTGATAATTAGAAAAACGAAAAACAATGTTCATTCAACTGGCAATTCAGTCGAGTTGGAATTTTCAATTTTCTCACTCACATTTTGATATCAGTTTCCTGTGTCAGCCTATTTTCCTCTGCAAACAAGAGCCTACCGCAATAGTTACCGTAAAGTACGTACTCCTAGTGCGCTCCATGATCAGCGCAAATTCAAAACGCCCCCCCCTCCCCCCCCCCTTTCGAATTAAGGGGTTCAAAAACTTTGTTGTCTTTCTTCTTGGCTCTAATTTTCAGGAAAAAATAGGAGGTACGAGTACGAGTGACGTAGGTACTAGTGCTGTACTTCTACCTGTAGCTCTCTAGCTGTCGTTAATGATAAATTCTCCTCACTATTTCCTTGGGAAGGCACAGAGTACGCTGTCGCTCAACATTGAGACATCAAATGATTAATTTCAAAGTCAAGTGAGACTCAGATTTTTAATATCTCTAGGTAACAGAACTGAACGACAACGTGAGGATGGGCCGGTTCCTCTCCCTCGGAGCTCTTTATCCATTCCTAGCATTTCCTTCGATCCGCGCTTTGTCAACTGCAGCCGAGTCTGCTGCTTCAAAAAGACTAGTCCAAGAACCTACTCCGTGGTCAGATGTAGCCATCAAAGCTGCGAAGGATTTCACGATTTCCCAACGTCAGAAACTTGCTGATCTCGGAGCACTTGACATCCAGAGGCCGATGAAAATCGTTGGCACACCGCTCGAAAACAATGATAACATTGATAGTGAGAGTAAAATCAACACGAACAGCAAAGTGACGAAGACGATTCATTTCCAACGTCACGGCCAAGGCTTCCATAACCTAATTTGTGACGTGTGGAGAGAAAGAGGTCTCCCTATCGACTTTGACTCAACCGACCCCGAACTCAACCCTTTAATCAGAGAAGAATTCTTAGATCCGCCACTAACAGAAACAGGGCGTCGACAGTCCATGGATCGAAGGATCCAATGTGCAGCGCTCACTCCGGAATTGGTAATTGTGTCGCCGTTGCTACGCTGTATTCAGACAGCAAAGTTGAGTTTTGTAGATCATCTGCCTAGTAGGAACGGTAAGATCGATCCAAGAAGTGCCGATTACGTCCCATGGGTTTCACACGAAGGATGTCGAGAGGAATTGGGCTTACTAGTCGGAAACAAACGCCGTCCTGTATCGGACATTGTCGTAGACCATCCAGATATTGACTTTAGTGCCATTGAACATGATGACGATGTGCTTTGGGAGACCTATGGAGTACGTCGTGAAACTTTGCTGCAAAAAAGCGAAAGGATATACGCTTTCTTGACAGAATATGTGATGAATCGTACCGAAGATAATATTGCTATCGTTTGCCATTCGGCGTATTTATTCACGTTGCTGAATGCCGTGATGGACATAGAGAGCGAAGAATTGCGATATTGGTTTTTAACTTCGGAGGTTAGGTCCATGAAAGTCACTTTTGAAACAAATGATGACTACCGAATACAGTGAAGGCGATTGTACTGAGAGAGTTATATCAAATCTTAGTGCCGTGTGTTTCACATTTTTGCTGTTCAGTACAGATTGAAAATCATTCTGATCTATGGAGGGAACGATGTCCCATTGTCAGTAATATTGCTATGTAGACTGGAATTTTCTCCTAATTTTCCATCATTTACTAATAAGACTCCTGGTTACAACGTTTGGATTTCATACGGATTATTGTTACTGTCCTGAAAATCAATGTCAACCTCGAGCAAGCCTGTAAATCTGTACCGTTTTGTGCAATGGCAGTTCAGCAGCTTGACACGATATTCCTTGTCAGAGCTTTACAGAACATAATATTGGATATGCAAATTGAGGGATTGAAGAGTCTCTGCTGTCTACTGTGAAACAGGTAGTAGAGTAATCATTCAAGTAAAGGTGCACTTTTGCCAAGCAACAAAAACAATGAATTGATGAGACCAATCAGCAGCAGCAACACTCAGCAATGCTGCTAGTAGGGACACTAAGCAACACTATCAGCAACACTATCAGCAATATAATTATGATTTGGACACTTCTGGAATGAGTTTCAAGGGGCTGCCCTGCTGAAGTTCACCACCTTGTTGAAAACTTTTTTCTTTCTAACATTGGACCTGCAAGGATTTGGAAATCTCCTCCTCATATCACAGCTGACAATTTCTTCCTATCAGATTCCATCTTGGATTGGATTGGTGAGCAAGGCTTGGGTATGATGAGAACTGTTGCTAAGAACAAATTACCTGTAAAGGTTTCTGGAAAGTACTTCCATAAGAAGAATGCTGCAGGGGATTCCAATGGGAGACAGAGAGCAAAGATGTCATGTCTTGCTAAGCCTATCACTGCTGTGAAAACTGTGCCAGCTGATCCTGGGACAGGAATCAAAGACTACGGACAAGGACATTGTTCATTCCAAAGCACTGGAGCCTGCAATTAAGGATCAGTGAACTCTATTTCATCCTCATCTCTTTACATTCATCAGAAGGCAAGGGGAAGGGGGACAGACAAATGCAGATGGGGAATTGAAATGAATGAGTCTCGTGAAGTTTATCTTTATACGTATGGAAAGCTGGACCATATTGATGCATACATCTCCAGAGCCAACATTGGTTACAAAATTGTGGAAATACTGTCATGCTACAATTAATCAAGCAAAAGCCTTGGCCATTGCTACAGCATAGTACAATATGTACAAAGAATGTACTGACAGAAGCCTTGGCAATGAGTGGAAGGTAAGCAACGTTATGAGCAATCCTGGGTTTCATCAGAGGCTTGCTTTGCAGATGATAAAATACGATCTCATGGAGCAGGCACATAACTGTGATACTCAACTGAGGTAGTGTACAAAAGCAACAAGAAGGTTAAGAACCAGTAGGGCAACTAGAAGAAAAGCATGTAAGATGTTCCTTAGGAATGGAAAGTTGTTTGGATATCACAATTTGCAGACAATTGCAGAGTACAAGGCAATTGGAAGATTTTGCTTCACTCAGACTGAGTATGCAAATCATCTGAAGGTGGTTGGGCCTATGAAGTCAAGAAAGAGAAATATCTGCTACATGTGTGGTGGAAATACTTACAGTATGTGCAACCTGTGCAAAGTCCCTCTGTGTGTCACTGGAAGCAATTCAAAGAAGAGGAATTCTAATGGAGATCCAATCTGGAACTTTTGTCACAGCAACTATCACAACTATGAATGGTTTGGGCTTGGGAAGAGCAACTATTGCTCTAGAGTAAGAAATGACAAAAGACTGAGAGAAAGGACTACATGGGATCCTCCAAGCAATGAAGAGTTGAAAGATAACACTGAGTATGTGAAATTCTTATTGGACATTGAGGATGACAATGAGGATGAGGAAAAGACTAGTGTTGGTGATGGTGATGTCAATATTGTTGTCTTGCCAAGTAGCACCACTGTTAACAGTGAACTAACTCTACCAACTGCGGATAGTACTACTATGGAGTTAAGCACAATGGTTGGACCATTAGAATCAGTGAAATAAACAAAATACTAGTAATTGTTGAAATTGGATAATTTGCTCAATCATTTGCTCATTTGTTGGCTCATTCCGTTGCTGATTTGGTTTCTCATTTGTTTGCTGAAGGAGCTAATGGTGATTATTAAATATGGATAGTGCACTCATTTGGTTGGTGATTCGGTTGGTGATCCAGTTGCTTTGTTGTCGATTGCTTGTTTGTTGTTGGTTGCTCATTTGGTTGGTGCTGATTTGGTTGCTGATTCTGTTGCTTTGTTGTCGGTTGCTGATGTGGTTGCTGATACTGTTGCTGGTTCTCACAATCCATCCCCTCATAGTTGGCTGAATGGAAGGAACAGCTTTGATCCATGTAAAAAGGATGTCCCCACTCATCAAAGGCAAATTCTTTGGCACATTGAGTGCAAGGAGTGTAGTTGTTCTCCCTCTTCATTTTTCCCTATAGATCTCAAAGAACCACTCATGTTTATTGCCAACACTCATCGTTGGAGGCAACAGAGGCTTTGCGAATCTAGTGAAAACTATAGCCTACACAAGATCTTTATTTTTCAAGCAGGTCTTCTTTAAACAACCAGCATACATCTCATTCAGCTGCTTGTTGTACGGGGTAGGCTTCTTATGCCACTCCCAGTTGACAATCCACTTCCAGTCCTGATTCATTACAAACTGTACTTGAGGAGACGGATCATCAATAATTTCTGGTGGAGGGGGCT